AGATTATCCCTCGTATGTACACATGGAATGTGGATGTAGAGCATTTGTTTCAATGTGATTGGAGGAGGGCTTGGAAAAGACGGAAGATTATGATGAAGCAAGACCACATGTTACTTGTTGAAGCAGTGGTAGATACGTGGTGGCTGTATGCTACGGTCTTATTTCTGTGTGGGTTCAAGTTTTTCTATAATAAAATATTTGAAAATGATCTCTTCATCATCTAGCATCAGAATAAAACAAGACAATGCTAGAGGAGATTCCCTTTCTCCCCAAGGTAATGTCAAGATTTGAGAAAATCAAATTTTCCTTGTTGTCTCCCTTAAGAACTGGTAGGTTCATGTTTTGCCCTTTGGGGTATCCACTCTCTGAGGTAGTCTCCCTTAGGCTTCCCGCCTTGGGCTGGCCCTGGGGTTGGATTCCTCTCTTCTGTACACTGTGAAGACTTGAAAACTAAACAATGTTAATTTAGTTCTAGACATTTCTTTAAGATGAAAGCTTGCTTCACTGTTCCACCTTTAACCCCAGGATCCCACTATTCACTTCATTTTTAATTATTGAGTAGTACTGTCTTTTCCCTTGTGTCTCCTTTACTCTCACACAATTACCACACTCACAACACTGCTGAGACCAGATGTGTGGGGGTCCTACCGCTGCCCCCCAGCAGCAATTCTCTTGACACCAGCTGGGTGTACTACAATTCAACTCCGTTCTAACACTCCCCAGAGACAGTGTCAGACCCCAGAGACAGTGTCAGACCCCAGGGTTAAGAGCTCACCCCCACAAGACTGCTCCTAGCCCACTTCATTTGCTAGAGTGGTTCACAGAACTCAGGGAAACACTTACTTACCAGTTTATTAGAAGGTATGATAAATGATACAGAGGAACAGCCAGATGAAGAGAGACTCAGGCCAAGTCTGGGGGGCGGGGGATCCTGAGTACAGAATCTTCCATCCTCATGGAGTTGGGTGTGTCACCCTCCCATTGTGGATGTGTTCTCTCACCTGGAAGCTCCCTGCACACTATACTGTTGGGATATTTATGGAGGCTTCCTCAGGTTGGCTTGATGAATCATTAATTCCATTTCCAGCCCCCTCCTCTCTCTGGAGAATGGGAGGTGGGACTGAAAATTCCAACCTTCTAATCATGGCTTAACCTTTCTAGGAACCAGCCCCCACCCAGGAGCCCACCCAGAGCACCCAGGAGCCACCCACCTCATTAGAACAAAAGGTGCTCTTAGTGCTCTTACCACTTAGGGATTCACAAGGGTATCCAGAGCTAGGTATCAGGGGGGTGGGGGAGTGAAATCTATGTATTTTTCTATTATCTCACACCCAATTACTTAACACTGATTTCTTTTAAGAACATATTTAAAACTATTTAATCAAATTTTGATTGTTTTAAGGAAACTGTCCGTCAACGACCCAACCATGTCATATTTCCCTATGCTCATTTATGCTAAAAAAAAAAAAAAAAAAAAAACTAAGGCACTCCAGAAGAGTAGAAATCTCTTAGGAAAATAGGTTTTTTAAAATGGATTATGACACTGTAAAATGAGAATGAAAGAATGAAAAAGAAAAAAGGCAAAGGAAGAAATAAGCGAAGCCTCTGTAATATGCTGGAGTCTTTACACCTGATGTAAGAGGTAACTCACTCCTAACCCAGGAATTTACAAAATGTTCTTCCTGAAGAAAAATTAAAATTCAAGTTATCAACTGTTTCACTTATACACTGATCTATGAATAATAGTTGCTAGAACTTGCCCCACCCCCAATACAGAGTTGCATCGGATTGAGGGGCACGGTATTTGGACAATCATTCCTTTAATTTTCATTTCTATTAATGGAATTTTTTAATGCATTGCAAAAAAAAAAACAAAAACCAGAACATGTGAATGTTTATTTGAGCCAACAAGGAGCCTTCTCAGGGTCATGTCTTCCACAGATCCAGTTCAAAATCCGAATTATATTTACATTTCACAGATACACTTTGACTAATGAAGTGTAAGCTACAGGGAGGAAAATGGATTCAGAAGGGTGGATAGGATCCAAGCGATCCTGGTAGGAACACCAGATTTCTTTCTGAGCAAACACTCCTCTCCCACTTTCAGGTCATATTCTTTTCAGGGTTCTCTTTTTTTTTTTTTTTTTGAAGATTTTATTTATTTGACACAGAGAGAGAACAAGCAGGGGGAGCAGCAGGCTTCCCGCGGAGCTGGGAGCCCGACGCGGGGCTCAATCCCAGGACCCCGGGACCATGACCTGAGCCGAAGGCAGACGCAGACGCCGAACAACTGAGCCGCCCAGGCGCCCCAGGGTTCTCATATTCTGAGTCCTCCTAGCCAATCAGTTCTCTTTTTGCTTCAGCCAATTCGGGATGGGTTTTCTGTCACTTGCCACTAGGGACTCCTTACTAATAAGAGTATAAAGTAACTCGGCAGGCAGCAGCAGCTGTGAGGCTGGCTGGGGGTGCTGGTGCCTGATTTGAATGTCTTACGCTGGCCTTTAGGTGGGGGCAGCCAAGGACAGCTAGGGGAAGTGGCCTCAAAGAGGGAACATTGGCTCTAGTTCAGCAAGACAATGTCCATGTGGGAAACAAAGGCAAAAGAAATGCAGCTTGAATTAAAATCTCCTTACAGCTTGCAGCCCACCGAGAGGTACCTGAAACCCGCAGAGTGTGACCTTCCTCAAGGAACCCATGGCCGCCTCAGCACCTTAATGTTTAAAAGTAACCTTCATCTTGGCAGCAGCGGCCCCTCGAGGTCCTGAAAGCCTTCCTTCCAGATTCCTTGGAGACTTGCACTCTCCCTAACCCCCACTAATTAAGGATACCCTCAGTCACGCCTCACAATCCCAGTAGAGCTCTTTTTGCCCACAGGTCCTGTCCCGTGAGTAGGGAGGGGATGTAGGTGATGTTCGGTGGGGTGGAGTCCAGAGCTGACGACCAAGAAAGAATTCTTGAGACGTCTTTGGTGCAGAATGGGGGTTTATGAAAGCATGGGAACAGGACCTGTGGGCAGACAGAGCTGCTGCACCGGGGCTGTGAGGGGTGGCTGATATACTCAGGAGTTGGGGAAGTAAGGAAAAGGGAGGTTTCAAAAGAACTTTCATATGCTTAAGAGGACCGACCTATAAGATACTGGGGGCCTTGCCATTGTCAAGGTCGTTCTTCCCTCTAGCAAGGCATTAAGATTAAAATAGTGGGGAGATCCTGGAAGGATGTCACACATGTCCCACCCACGACTGGGGGTGGGGGGAGGTTGCAGGGTGTCAGCTTGTGCTTTGTCTTCGGCTGGCCTTCTGCTCCCACATCAAAGGTCTACCAGGAGAGATGGGAGGCCCCTGACTCCCCCAGCTAGGCTCGCGCAGGGGACTACGTGACCGGGCTCACAGAAATCCCAAATGCGGAGAAATGCTGAGGCATACAAAACCAGAGATAAAGGAACATGAGGAGACTGATGTAATTTTTGAATGTAGGTGAGGTTTGGTGGGGTGAGGTGCGGCGCTGACGGCCAAGAAACGCTCTTGAGACATCTTGGGTGCAAAAAAGGTGGTTTTAGGGGCGCCTGGGTGGCTCAGTCGATTGGGCGCCTGCTTTTGGCTCGGGTTGTCCCAGGGTGCTAGGATCCAGCCCTGAGTCCCGCAGGGAGCCTGCTTCTCCCTCTCGCTCTGCCCCTCCCCTTGCTTGGGCTTGCGCTCGCGCGCTCTCCCTCTCATAAATAAAATCTCTAAAAAACAAAGGGAGGGGGCTATTAAAGCACAGGGGACAAGACCTGTGGACAGAAAGAGCTCCTGCTCTGGGGTTGTGAGGGGTCACTGATGATATACTCAGGGAGTTGGGGGAAGTAAGGAAAAGGCAGGTTTTCAAAAGAACTTTCATATGCTAAAGAGGACCTACAAGATACTGGAGGCCTCGCCATTGTCAAGTTTAGGTTGTTTTTCCCTCTAGTAAAGCATTAACATTAAGACAGTTGGGAGTTTCCTTCTGGAAGTTAGGTTATTGACAAAAATGCTTTTTTCTTGTAAATCACTAAGACATTTTGTAAACTGAGGGAGACTGTGATCTCTGTTAGTTAACCATTTGTTTTCCCTTCCCTTAGCTTGAGAGCAGACAGGAGTGCCTGAGGAATGCCACACATAGCCCACCTGGGACTTGGGGGAGGGGGGCAGGTTGCAAGGTGTCAACTTATGCTTGCCCTTCGCTTGCCCTCTGCTACCTCATCAGAGACCATCTCGTTACGTCTTTAATGTCAGAGACGAGATATCCCTAGGACAGTGACAGCGTGGACCACTAAAAATTACCAAACTTCAAAGAAAAGTAAACAGGGTTCTATGAAGTGGTAGAGACGTCAAGAAGATTTAAGTTCCCTGGTCAGTTTTCAATAAAAGGCTGCCCGTGAAAGCCCTCAGTGGCAACTCTCCCTCTAGAGAGCTTTTTCTTTTCCTTTCTGTTCTCACCTTCACTTAATAAACTTTCACTTCACTTCACCCTTTTGTGTCTGATGTGGGAAACCAAGGCAGAAGAAAAATTACTGAGTTTCCTTACTGCCTACAGCCCACTGACAAGTCCTTGAAACAGGCAGAGTGACATTCCACTAGGGACTCAGCTGCCTCGATGTTGACACTTTGCCAAGGGCAAAAAACAATCCTAGCCCAAAATGTCCCCTCTGACCCCCCCATCCTGTAAGCTTACTTTAATATATACAAATTCCATTAGAAATTTCCTTTATCTCCAAACCCCCTAAGATACGGGTTGGCAATCACCACCCCCCCCGCCAAAGCATATGACCCACCGATATACATCTGAAGGGTCTCATGACTGAATTTCTACTAAACAGTAATAAATGACCTTTCATAATAGCTAGCCCCCTCAGGATCTGGAAACCTTGTTACCGAAATACCTGGGAGGCTTACACTATCCCTAACCCCCTCCCAACTTGAAGATACATAATCACCACCCCTCATAACCCCATGGGTACTGTCCCTGTGCTTTAATAAAATCACCTTTTCACACCAAAGACGTCTCAAGAATTCTGGCCGTGGGCTTCGAACCCTAAGGTTCTTTCCTATATCATTGTCCTTGAGATTGATTCTTCGACTCGGTGAGACAAGAACCCTGCAATCCTGCAACAGTGTGATTTTCTTCACTCTGCCAAAAGAGAGGTAGAAGAAATCAAAGAAGGGAAGATGAAACAAATAGAGCCCAGGCCAAATAAGAATGCCACCCCCCTTGTAATTCAGATATTAGTGATGTGGTCTGGGAATATAGGTAAGGTTCGGTGGGGTGGAGTCCAGAGCTGACGACCAAGAAAGAATTCTTGAGACGTCTTTGGTGCAGAATGGGGGTTTATGAAAGCATGGGAACAGGACCTGTGGGCAGACAGAGCTGCTGCACCGGGGCTGTGAGGGGTGGCTGATATACTCGGGAGTTGGGGAAGTAAGGAAAAGGGAGGTTTCAAGAGAACTTTCATATGCTTGAGAGGACCGACCTATAAGATACTGGGGGCCTTGCCATTGTCAAGTTCAGGTTATTTCCCCCTCTAGCAAGGCATTAACAGTTAAGATAGTTGGGAGATTCCTGGAAGAAAGTCAAGCACGTCCCATCCAGGAGTGGGGGTGGGGGGAGGTTGCAGGGTGTCAGCTTCTGCTTTCTCTTCAGCTAGCCTTCTGCTCCCTCATCATTAGCACGTCATCAAAAGCCAACCTGAGAAAGCATTTGCTGTTATAAATTAACACGACACCAACAAATCCCTCATAGCTTTGAATATACTGTGCAATTTCCTCTAAGGATTTCTTCCTTTGAAGAAATTCAGATCTGTAATTAGTAAATCATAATTAAAATTTACCTCAGTGCTACGTAGAGAGGTCTTACATCTTTTATTGTGGTGATGATTACACAATAAACATTTGTTAAAACTTACTGGATTGTACATCTAAAAATGATGAAATTTATCATGTTTCAATAAACTGTCAAATTTTACCTCAGCACTTATGAGACTCATCATTATTTTCATATAATTCTTCCTTCTTTTTCTTCCCCCAGTGTGTACTCAGTTGTTGGTTTATTTCTCAAGATGTGCACACTCCAGTGTTGAGTCAGCAGGGGCAGCTGTGGCTCCTCCGTACGTACAGCTCCTTCCGTGGCTCAGGTTACAGACAACTTCATAGTTAGGGCACGGCGCACACAAGATAAACAGGAAACCTAAAAACCCCAAGCTACTCCAAGAAGACACGCGGGAGGGGGAGGGAATTCTTCCTTACTTCTATTAGTGACAACATGTATAATAATTTAAAAATTCAATCTTCGGATTATCTTTTCCTTTGAAACAAATATAGAATACAATCAAAGAGATTCTGACTTACCGATATACATAGGCTGGATGTGTTGTTTATTTGTTAAACTACGGTTACTAAATCCAGTTCCTGTGGTTATGATGTGAGAAACTAAGGCAAAAAGAAAAATTAAATTTCCTTACTACCTACAGCCCACTGTCAAGTCCTTGAAACAGGTAGAGCGACATTCCTCTAGGGACTCAGCTGCCTCGATGTTAATACTTTGCTAAGGGCAAAGGCAATTTTAGCCCAAACCTCCCCACTCCAGCCTGGATCCTGTAAGCCTACTTGAACATATAGAAATTCCTCTGGAAACTACCTTTATCTCTACCCCCCTAAGATATATGTTAGCAATCATCCCCCAAGAATATGACCCACTGATATACATCTGAAGGGTCTTAGGATGGAGTTTTTACTCAATAGTAATAAATGACCTTTTCCTAACAATAGCTAGCCCCCTCAATGTCCTGGAAACGTTTTTGGGTTTTTTTTAAGATTTTATTTATTTATTTCCAAAATACCTGGGATGCCTACACTATCCCTAACCCCCTCCCAACTTGAAAGTATATAATGGGCCACTCCTCGTGACCCCAGTGCAGCTCCTTCTGCCCACAGGTCCTGCCCCCATGCTCTAATAAAAACACCTTTCTGCACCAAAGACATCTCAAGAATTCTTTCTTGGTCATCAGCTCTGAACCCCAACATCTTTCCTACATCAGTTACACATAAGTTACTGGGAGTAAAGGAAATTATATAAAAAAGTACTATACAGGTTTCCTCTGCTACTCAAAAGTAGAGCATTCCCATTTTCATAAACCAAATAGCATAAAGCAAAGAAGCTATTATCATTAATTAATATGGAAAACTTTTTGAGCTTTCCCAGATGCCAAAGATAACCTCCATTAGGTTTTTCTGATACTTAGGACACATCTTGCTAACTAATGCACAAGATGAATGAAGATTAAGCACCAATGCTCACAGACAGCTCAAAGCCGCAGCGGCTTGATGCTGAGACGCTGAGATGCTGAGTGTAGTTCCCAGGAAGGAGCCTGGTGGCGCCACTCTCATGGCCCCAAGAGGGGCACTGCACTAGAAGGGCTTGCTGCAAACCAAATGCTGAGCACTATTTTTGCTTTTTGTCTTTTTTTATAAAAGTGAAAATCCTCTCCGGATTTCTTTTTTTAGATTTATTTATTTGAGAGAGTGCACACAAGCTGGGGGAAGGGCGGGGAGAGAAAGAGAGAGACAGAGAGAAAGAAGCAGATTCCCTGCTCAGCTCGGCACAGAACCTGACTCAGGGCTCAATCTCAAGACCCTGAGATCATGACCTGAGCTGAAATCAGACACTTAACCACTGAACCCCCCAGGTGCTCCCAGACTTCTTTAGATTAGATAAAACAGGTACCAATGGGTGGGGGGATGGGTTAGCCTGGTGATGGGTATTGAGGAGGGCACGTTCTGCATGGAGCACTGGGTGTTATGAACAAACAATGAATCATGGAACACTGCATCAAAAACTAATGATGTAATATATGGTGATTAACATAACAATAAAAAAATTAAAAAAAAAAACAGGTACCAATGTAGGTCTTCCATAGAAGTGGCTTAAATGCAAACTTTCAAGAAGCAGGGATACTTGTATTTCATCTGCTGAATAAAACACAACTTCTTAAAAATGGAAATTAATGGGACACCTGCCTCTTGATCTCGGGGCTGTGAGTTCAGACCCCACAATGAGTGTAGAGATTACTTACGTAAATAAACTTTAAAAAAATGGAAATTTTGAAATTTAAAAAAGAGTATATTGAACACCATTTACAAAACATATTCCTATCCACAAAAGTGAAGCAATTTTTAAGTTAACTTTTAAAAAAAAGTCCTCTATTTCAAATATAAGGGTCCTTTCTAGTCGTATTGTAGTAACAAGTGGTCTGGGAGTCAAGAAGCTAGGTTAGTCCCACTTCCAATACTAACAGGAAGGTGACCATTCTAGTCACTGTTCTCTCCTCACATGAGCAAATTAACTATCAGGTGACTCATTTATTTCTTCAGGGCCACCATCCTGTGGACAGCCAGGTCCTCAGTTTTAAGGTGTCCAAATCTCTCCTGGGATTTCCCCTGTCTATGCATAACCTGCCTGGCACATGACAGATGAGGTGGTACCCAACCCGCATGCTTGGTATGGACTTAGGAGGCACTCAATACAAGGTACTTTCTTAAACATTACAATAAAATTTACTTATGCTTTTTTTTTTTAATATTTATTTGAGAGAGAGCACGAGAGAGAGCAGAGAGCACAAGCAGTGGGCTTGTGGGGGAGCGGCAGGCACAGGGAGAAGCAGATTCCCCGCTAAGCAGGGAGCCCGATGTGGGACTCCATCCCAGGACCCTGGGATCAAGACCTGAGCCGAAGGCAGATGTTTAACCAGCTGTGCCACCCAGGTGCCTCTGAATTCACATTTATACTTAATTTTCTATTTACACTAAAACTGAATAAAAGTAAATTAGAGATTCTGTATTTACTTTAATTATAAAGCAATGAAATTATCACATCAATTTAATCATAAGTAACTTAAGTACAATAATGTGTGATGACTTTGAAAACATTTAACAAAATAATAGAAAACAAAATTAACCGAGTGAAGTACTATTAAATCCTGGGCAATTTCTGTGACAGGACACAAATTTTAAAATTTAATAAAATGCTACATTTTCTTTTCTTCCCCCCTCATCCCTCCCTTTTTTTTAAGTTTATTTTACCTTGTAGCAATCCATCGTGGGGCTCGAACTCATAACCCTGACATCAAGAGTCTCATGCTCTTCCAAATGACTGAGCCAGGTGCCCCAATCCTACATTTTCTTAGCAAAAAGTTTCTTCAATCAGATTTTCCTTTCAAACTGGTCTTCATATCTTAATTGGAGCTTCTTCTGAAGAATCACGTTATTAACAGTTGCAAATGTCCTTTTAACACATACAATGTGTACTATATGTTGGAATCAAATACTCGAAGAAGTTGGAATCTTATGAATGCACCCAGGACAACAGTGAAGAGAGTCGTGAACAAAAACATCACAGTCCACACAGAAAACATTTTGGCACACAGCACAAACATAGACCTGCAGTGAAAAGAAGAAAAGAAAATTTAGAAAGTAGTTTCCAGAAGTACAGCACAGCCAGAAGACATTCACGTTGCTCTGCTCTCTTATTGATCAGTTTTCCCCACCCATTCACCTACTTTATTACTTCCAATGTACTACTTATTCTCAAATCTAAGGTGACTATTTTTCCAAAAAAACTATCCCTTACAAATGAGAAAATTACTTTGTTTTCACACCTTAACATCTCTTGTATTGTAAAACATTCTTAATTACTTTGTTTTAAGTAATTATCTGGGGAAGACACATAAGCTTGAAATTAGTACCAGTTTCAAATGCTCATTCATTCCTCTGATTTGATTAAAAAGAAAAACATAAATCTTTAACACAGATTTAGTTATTGCCAGGGAATGACCTCACAGCTGCACAAATTATATTCTCCTTTTATTTAACTTAAAGAATATGGAAAAAGACACATTTAAGACCAAAAAAAAAAAATCCATTGTTTTATCAGTATTACATACATGGATACTTATGTCTTGGGATGAAATTTCCAAGGCAGCAGCATACACAGGTTAAAAGATTATTACATCTCAAAAAGCAAAGAAGTAAAAATGTGTGGGTTTTTTTTTTTAATATTTTATTTATTTATTTGACATGAGGAGTAGGGAGAGCAAGCACAAGCAGGGGGAGCTGCAGGCAGAGGGAGAAGCAGGCTTCCCGTGGAGCAGGGAGCCCGATGCGGGGCTCTATCCCAGGACCCTGGGATCACGACCTGAGCTGAAGGCAGACGCCTAACAACTGAGCCACCCAGGCACCCCAAGACAATGTGTTCTTAAAAACTGTCAAGTGAGGGACGCCTCACTTGGGTGACGCCTCACTGAGCCACTTGGGTGGCTCAGTCGGTTAAGCGTCCACCTTCAGCTCAGGTCATGATCCCAGGGTCCTAGGATCGAGCCTGCATTGGGGTACTGGCTCAGTGGGGAGACTGCTTCTCCATCTGCCTGCCACTTCCCCTGCTGTGCTCACTCTCTCTCTCACGTGTACGCACTCTCTCTCTGACAAATAAAATCTTTAAAAAAACAAACTGTCAAGTAATTCAAAGGTGGCTCTAGTGAGGATGAAGCTACTGATGTCCAAGAGGCATGTAAAACTTAATAAAATTGTTTTATGAATTGTGAGAAGAGAATAAGAAAGCAGTCCTCCCAACTAATATTTCATACAGTGCATAAAGCATAGTTTTAAATATGGGCACATAAATTCATAAAAATTTAAAACTTAAAAGATAGGGACACCTGGGTGGCTCAGTGGGTTAAGCATCTGCCTTCAGCTCAGGTCATGATCCCAGGGTCCTGGGATGGAGCCCCACATCGGGGGGGGGGGGTCCTTGCTCAGCAGGGAGCCTGCTTCTCCCTCTCCGGTTCTCCCTGCTTATGTTTCCTCTCTCACTGTCTCTGTCAAATAAGTAAAATTTTTTTTTTTTTTAATTTAAGAGATATTTTCTCATTGGGACTATGGGGGACCAGCCTTCGGCTTATGGCCACCTTCAATGGGAACTTCAGAACGAACTGTGACAGTGCCTAAAGTACCATATGGAGAATAAACTTCTAATACTTCCAAACTAAATGCAGGGTAGCTTGCAAACTAAAGACTGTTTGTATGTTTGTTTGTTTATTTATTTTTAAAATGTAAGTGGGTATGGTTTTTTTTTATTTTAATTTTTTTTTTAAAGGGAGGTTTGTTTGAAGATTTTGTTTATTTGACAGAGAGACAGCGAGAGAGGGAACACAAGTAGGGGGAGTAGAAGAGAGAGAAGCAGGCTTCCCGCGGAGCAGGGAGCCCGATGCTGGGCTCGATCCCAGGACCCCGGGATCATGACCTGAGCCGAAGGCAGACGCTTAACAACTGAGATACCCAGGTGGCCCAGGTTTTTTTTTTTAAAGGTTTTATTTATTTGAGAGAGAGAGAGCACGAGAGTGGGGGGGGAGGGGTAGAGGGAGACGGAGAAGCAGACTTCCTGCTAAGCAGGGAGCCCGATGTGGGGCTTGATCCCAGCACTCTGGGATCATGACCTGAGCCGAAGGCAGACGCTTAACTGACTGAGCCACCCTGGCACCAACTAAAGACAGTTTAAATACCAAAATACTGTTATAGAAAAATTAAAATGCAGAATTATAAAAAAGACTATTTAAACCATTTTGCTTCCATTTTATCTCTACCTACTGTTACCATACTTCTGAGGAATAACCTGATATGAGCCTGATTTTCAGTAATGTACTGAAAACTTCTAATGCTATTTCCTCAATATTTCTTATATAATACTTAGTATTTTTTTTTTTTTTTGGTAAAATATTTTACTTATTTATTTGTCAGGAGAGAGTGCACAAGCAGGGGGAGAGGCAGAGGGAGAGGGAGAAGCAGGCTTTCTGCTGAGCAGGGAGCACGATATGGGACTCGATGGGATCATGACCTGAGCTGAAGGCAGATGCTTAACCAAAGCTTAACCAAAGCCACCCAGGTGTCCCAATACTTAATATTTAGAAAGCACATGAACTTACATGTTGGTCTTTCAATTCCCCCTGACATCCATAACAAAATCTGAAAAAGAAAGTTTAAGAATCATTTTGTTAGGAATTCACTCCTTAAAATAGCTCGGCAAAATCTCAATAACAAGAATCCTGTAATTAATAAGTAATTATCTTCACACATGACTTTTATGAGAAAAACAGAATTAACAATACCAATAACTTAAGAAAATTCTACAGTATATCCCAAGATCATCTCACAAAGCAAAATCCTACTTTAAAATTTTTTTAAATTTTATTTTCATCAAGGTTAAATAGGAGCATGATTTCCCTACTGGGATTCTGTGAGGGAATTAAGCCCTACAGAAAATAATGAGTGACTATTCTGCAACTCTCCTGAGAATAGCAGGTAGCTGGTATAACTCCAGATGGACAGAAGTTAATTTATGTGTGGATACCTAAAGGCTTAATTTTCAAGGAATGGTTTAAAGAGTTAAAAGTTCTCAAGACTTACTACAAAAAATAGTGGCCCTCTCCTTACCAACCCCACTTCATTTCCAGCTCCCCAAACACTTTCAAAACTTTTAACTGCTACAGTGCTATTTCTTGTGTTTTTCTGGCATTGGCTATAAACCTCCAACTAAGGAAGATCAGAATTTACTTCTCTTTCAACCCTCTTGATCCAACAGCATGTACACACACATAACTAATGCCATTCTCAATTCTTTCTCTGTACTAAAATCATTTTGAATAGAGTATTAAATGTTTAGTTTATTATGACTATATAAACATATTCAGCTGAGCCATGTAATACAATTCTTCCTCTCTTCAAAATATTTTTTTCCTGGAGTTGATAACTATACTGTTGTCCACAAGCTTAGTTTTCTATATAATTACCCCAACTCAAGTCTAACCTTTCCCTGAGAATTCTAAATGTCGTCTCTACGGTCACCCACATCAAGAATTCTAGTTTTCGCCCTCTTGGTGACCTCTCTCCTGCAGCATTCTGACCTTCACCAAACTGGACTATTCTCCACATCTGACACAAAAGTGTTATTCTGGAATCTCCCCTTATCATCAGCCTAGGGCTTTCTTAAGCCACGTTTGAACTAGATCAATATCCCATTCTCTTCCAGTCATTCTCTTTTTCAGGTCCTTTGAATCATCTCTTCCACAGCTTCCCCAGAGTCTCTTTTTGAGGCCTCGTTAAGTCTAAAAATGTCTTCATTGACCTAACTGATAGGTTTGCTAGGTATGTATTCTAAGTTGGTAACAACCGAAGGAAATCACTTCCTGGCAGTAGCCAGTATTGCTGAGACACAAAACAATTTTAATTCCAGATCATGTGACCTAATTTTCCCTCTCCAGAAATGTTTAGTTTTTTGCTGCCTATTCTAAAATTTCACAATGATACACTTTAGTGTGGGTCTATTTTCCCTATGTTAGACACCTGACAGTTCCTTTCAATCTATAAAGTTCTATCCTTCAATAGTAGACAATATCCTTAACTATTTCTTACCTACTCTTTATTTGATCTTTTCTCTGTTTCTCTAACTATTCTAATACTAAACCTTCCGGATAAATCCTCTGGTCTTACACCACAGAAATCAGATAAGGTTGCAAACCAGGACTGTTTTGTTGTTTTAGAGAGCTAATTTATCAGTATTTGACTACACTTACTATACAGAGATGGGCTTAGGGAAATTAATAGATTTCTGGAGATCCAGATCTGTTTAATAATGAGTCACTTCAGTCACAACCAAGGCATTCTACCATCTCATTTTCCAAATTAGAAGTAATCTTGCCCAAGTTAATGTGACTCTTTTTTAATGTAGTAACAACACATTCAAACATTATTCTACCACATATAACAGATATAAATTAATAAAAACTCATATACTTTTCTCCATTATATTCTTCTAGAGGAAGTTCTCGAAAAGCATCCAAAGGAAATAAATGATGGTAAGACCGTGCCAAATGCGGAGCAGACACCAAAGTAAGACCTAACAAATAAAGCAGAGAATCATGTTTAATAGCCCAAACCTCATGAAGAGAATAGCTGACATGTCAAATAATAGGCTAAATATTTTCAAGGTTTTTTTTAGGACTGCTGGTATTGATTTCTTCATTTACATATCGCCTTAAAAAGGAGATTCGAGGATGGAGTCTTACTTCTTTCACTAATTGTGTGACCTCTCTTGGCCATTTGCTTACTTAAAAATGAAACAAAATTCTACAATTCTATCACTTTAATTCCTCATTGTCCTTATACATATTTTGTGAAGGTTAAGAGCTACAAAAATGTCTACTAGATCTACTGCAAAGCCTTTAAAGAACATACTCATTTCAGAGGGAGAATCAGAAAACTGTTCTAGAATGCCATGTTTATTCTAGAAATGGAGTACCGGGTACTCAATAAAAAAAATAATGCTTTTCTATTCTCACGGATTAAATTCAGAAATAATAGGCAGAGCTTAATATTTACATTTACTTTATTAGCAATATAGGTAAGAAGTTATTCAAGATTAATTTACTAGATAAAGAACAGTTGGTTTCTCACCACAGATTTTACATTCAACTGGAAGCTCACAGTACTTTGCCCGACACTGTGGGCAGAAATACCCTCCTAATGTAAGTCCTGGCTCAGTGTTGCTATCCAAGTGCCTGTGGGAGGAAACAGTACTTTTAAAGTGATATATAATGGGAATGGTTATAGCAAAACAAAATATGCTACCTTGATTTTAAAATCTTGAAGTTGTTTCATAGTTCATTTAAGCGGGGTTCATTCTTCTTTTCTCTCTGCATTTCTGATTTGAATAGTGTGTATTAATGCTTTTTTTTTTTTTTAAGTAATCTCACACCCAGTGTGGGGCCCAAACTCACAACCCTGAGATAAAGAGTTGCATGCTCTCCATACTGAGCCAGCCAGGGGCCCAAACTGCACTAATGTCCTTAAATTCACTCATCTTTTCTTCTTCAGGGACTCATCTGCTGTTAGTCCCATCCAGTATATTTTTCATTTCAGACATTATATTTGTTTCTAGAACTTTGATTTGGGCTTTTTTTGTAATAGCTGTTTTACTACTTTGCCTACTAATTCCATCAACTGTGTTGTTTCTGAGTATGTTTCTGTTCTATGATTCTCTCCTTATTATGGGTCATATTTTCCTACTTCGTTGCATGCCTGGTCATTTTTGATTGGCTGCCAGACATTATGAATTTTTGTTTTAGGTGCTGGATTTTTTGGTATGCCCTTAAATATGTTTGGGGTTCTTCTAGAATATAGTTAAGTAACTTGGAAATAGTTTGATCTGTTCAAAAACTTGCTTTAGAGTTCATTAGGCTATCCAGAAGAGCTGTTAGTCTAGGGTTAATTTGGTTCCATTACTGTGGACTCTGTTCAATGCCCACTGTTAAGATATCCCTCCACACTGACTGGTAGGACCATGAACTGTTCCCTGCCCCATGTGAGCTCCAGGGATATGCTGCCTGCTCCTATTCAGGGGTTCTTTCCTTGGTCTCTAGTAGCTCCCACACGAATGTGATGATCGTAACTCAGCTGATGACTCCTGGGGAAGTCTCTGCAATCTCGAGAGCTTTCTGTACAGCTCTTTACTTTCTAGCACTGTGCCTGGAAAACTACAGCCATTTCAGCCTCCCCAAACTCTGAACTTGGTTTCTTCACCTGAGCAAGACCTCCAGGCTCTGGCTGGGTTTTTCCCTCCCTACACTGCAGCCTGGAAATTCTCTCAAGGCAGTAAGCTGCACTCACAGGGCCCACCTCATTTGTTTCCCTGCCTTCAGGGATCATTACTTGCACTGCCTGTTGTCCACATCTGAAAATCATTGTTTCATATATTTTGTCTGGTTTTCTGGTAAGAGGGAGGACAGTACATTCAGTCCCTATGGTACCTTTATAGCTGGAGACACAACTCTTATTTGTGATTTTTAAGAATTACTTTAATTTTGTTTTATAATTATGTAAACTATAAAGCTCTAAAGTTAAAGCAAGATATGTTCAGAAAGGTCTAGGGGCCATCCCTTTGCCTTTCTCCACATACTGCCCAAGTAAACATTTTTTCAGTTTTTACTTTTTATTTCCATTACTGTTTTTATCATTAATATAAACAAGTATGTATACCCAGTCAAATCTCCACCCTCTTCTTACATGAGTGGCAGCATACAATACACTTTTCTCTACCTTGCTGTTTTACTTAGTAATAGACCCTGAGGATTACTACACAGGAGTAAACAGAGATAGTCCTCACTCCTTGTTACAGCTATATAGAAGGTAACCTTTATACAAAAGCCATTACACCCCAGCCCATATAACTCAGTTTATATTTTTTAATTCATAACATACAGAAAAGAATTAAAAATGTCAAACATAATCACTGAGAGTTTCAAGGTTTTTACTTACGCCATGCTGAAAGAGGGTTTTGCATCTTGATCAGACAGAGAAGCAATGGTATGCTGGGGAAATCCTTCATAGAAGAAAACGTATTACTTTCTTTTTTCAAGCAAATAGCAAAATTGTAGGATTAGGAACCTAAAAACGTTCCTACCAGAAAGCCCACAAAGTTGTACAAAAGTTCTCTCTCCTGCCTTTCAGATTTGTTTACTACAGTATGGTCAGGCTGACTATAATTCCAGGTTATGAGAAAAATTAAAAGTGGAGAATGTGGGGGAAAGATCTGTCCATACATATGGTTGCAGATTCTTAAGTCTATAACTATCTAATTTAATAGAACACACACTGCTTTTTAAAAATAAAATGTTTCGGGCGCCTGGGTGGCTCAGATGGTTAAGCGTCTGCCTTCAGCTCAGGTCATGATCCCAGGGTCCTGGGATGGAGTCCCGCATCGGGCTCCCTGCTCCTTGGGAGCCTGCTTCTCCCTCTGCCTCTCTCTCACTCTCTCTCTCTCTGTGTCTCTCATGAATAAATAAAATCTTAAAAATAAATAAATAAATAAATAAAATAAAAATAAAAATAAAATGTTTCTAATTTTTAAATACTCTGATACACTGGGGTAGTCTATTACATAGCTGTCCACTTTCATTTTATATAAGAATATACTTCTATGCTGGGCGCCTGGGTGGCTCAGTTGGTTAAGCGACTGCCTTCGGCTCAGGTCATGATCCTGGAGTCCCGGGATCGAGTCCCACATCGGGCTCCCTGCTCAGCGGGGAGTCTGCTTCTCCCTCTGACCCTCTTCCCTCTCGTGCTCTCTATCTCTCATTCTCTCTCTCTCAAATAAATAAATAAAATCTTTAAAAAAAAAAAAAAAGAATATACTTCTATGCTTAAAATTTTGGAATGCCTAAACCCATGCAGTTTGTTTTCCATACATATTTTTCAAATTCTGACAACACGTCCAAGAAAAGCAGAAACAATAAAAAAAAAAAAATTTCACTACATAAAAATTTTAAGTCTATCTATATATCAAAACAAATAAGTAGGGGTGTGTGGATGCCTCAGTTGGTTAAGCATGCAACTCTTGATTTCGGCTCAGGTCATGATCTCAGGGTCATGAGATCGAGACCCACACAGGGCTCCATGCTCAGCATGGAGTCTGCTTGAGATTCTCTCTCTATCTCTCTCTGTTCCTCCCTAAGCTTGGTGCGCACACTCCCTCTCTCAAATAAATCTTTTTTTTTTAAAGATTTTATTTATTTATTTAATAGAGAGAGACACAGCGAAAGAGGGAACACAAGCAGGGGGAGTGGGAGAGGGAGAAGCAGGCTTCCCGCTGAGCAGGGAGCCCAATACGGGGCTCGATCCCAGGACCCTGGGATCACAACCCGAGCCGAAGGCAGACGCTTAACGACGGAGCCACGCAGGCACCCCTCAAATAAATCTTTAAAAATAAATAAATATCTATTTTATTTTACTTTTATTATTTTTTAAAGGTTTTACTTATTTGAGAGAGAGACAGAAAGAGCAAGAGCAGGAACGGCAGAGGGAGAGAGAGAAGCAGACTCCCCACCGAGCAGGGAAGCCCGATGCGGGGCTGGATCCCAAGACCCCAAGATCATGACATGAGCCGAAGGCATACACTTAACCGAGTCACCCACATGCTCCTAAATATCCACTTCAAAATAACACAAAATAAACACTTACCCATGCGAATAAGTGAACATTCAGAACTTGAGCTAGCAGGCGGAGGACTGACATGATGTGTCAGCAATTCTTTATAATGGCTTTCATCTAAAATAACATGGTATGTGCCTAATTAGACAAAAAGTAAAAGAAAAATCAGCTTTCAGATATAAGTATCAATTGTAATTTCTTTTCTTTTTTTTTAATTTTATTCTAAGTAATCTCTACACCCAGGCTCAAACTCACAACCCCGAGATCAAGAGTCACACATCTATCAACTGAGTTAGTCAGGAGCCCCTAAATTGTAATTCCTATGTAATTCTGTAAAAGTTTTACCATCTGAAAATGTACATTTTCAAAATAAGTATTTAAGTTAAATTATCATTTTTCAAAAACCTCATTTAAATGACATCTCTAAATTGACTTCTCTGGGAATAACTATAATTATAATTTAATTAAAGCCAAGTTGTAAGATCTTTACAAAGTATTACATATTAGTGAAATTTCCAGCATTTCAAGAGTTATTAACACTTCCTCTCAACACTGGCATAACTACTGAAAAGTCCCTGCATTTTGAGGTATCTTATAGAATCAATGATACATTTAAGATATTATGGATTTCAGGACATGAAGTGATTTAAATTTAGTACTGTAAAAACAGATGAAAACATACTAATTAATAGTTACTTCTTACAGAGTAATTATGAATAAATACTGAGGAATCTAGATATATACCACCAGTTTCACGAGCAAGTACAGTGCAAACCCGAACCTCTGCAGATAATCCGATAACAGACACTCTAATTTTAGCTGCCTTTAGGGTCTTCATAAAATCCACGTAAATAAAGGGTTTCAGGGGAAGGAAAAAAACATGCAAAAATTAGTATGTTTGAAAAACAGAATTTTCTGAAAACTAGTAATAAATTCACTATAGAATTCTCTTTAGAGTTATAACTCTGGTTTTGATTACAAGGAAAGGTAGTGGTTCTACCTTGATTAGATCATAGATATTAGACGGATCACAAGTTGTGAGGCTGCTAAAGATGATTAGGACTTCTCTACTTGTATGTCCAGGCATGTGTCTACAGAAAGATAAAATATATTCCCATTAGGTATAACAAATTAATAAAAAATTTACCCAGACAAAATAGTACATGTGGTTTATATATTTAGACTATAGAATATCTCATTTGTTTTAACATTGCAAAGGAATGAATTGAGTATACTCTAAACATGTTAAATTTTTCTAAAATTAGCTACACAAAAAACTGATTCATTTATTGTTTCCATAAATATTTGCTGAATACTCTTTTAGGTTCTAGGAATAGAGTAATAAGCAAGAATGAAAGAGGTTCCTGACATCATGAAGCTTACAACCTAGTAGATTCGTTTTGTACAAAGTCTAACGTGTACACTGGAAAGTATGACAATACCATATGGATCAACTTTTTTTTTATTTCATTAACTTAAATGCTGAAGAAAATGTGTATTTCAAATCTTTAATTAAACTCATTTATCTGAAACATGTTTACACACAGGACAGATAGAGGATTTCAAGTAACTTATGGTAGAGTCCACTGTCCATTTAAAAATATGCTTCTTTCTTCCACAAAAACTCTGTGTTGAAAGGCAAAAAAATTTTCTTTTATACTACATAAAAGCTAGATGCAAACTTCTGAGGTATATTTACTTCACTGTCAACTCTGATGCTGAAGCTGGGAGGCAGAGATGTCCATAGTTCGGTTAAATGATGCAAATAATAAGCTTCCGTTTCACTGAGATATAAATTAAAAGCCTTCATTCTCTGTCTATCACAGTAGTACCAGACTTGATTGACTCTCACATCCGGTCACTTCTTCTTTCCTTTCCCTTTTTTACGTCCCTCTCCTTGCTGAAGACTTTGGTCACCACCTCCTGTTTTTTGTGTCCTTGTTTTTAGTTTGGGTATCATTTCTGCTACATACGACATTACTGACTTACCTCAAGGAATATTAAGTCCAAAAGCTGAGCACACATCTTGAATCTCAATAGCTGTAGGATTTTCAACAGCCTTACTTATGGGGATTCGCCTCCCCTCCGCGATGGTCTTCTTGTTATTCAAATAAGCAGGATAGATACAAATGAACCTGTCCTGATCGGCCGGGGACAGAGTGGCGGCACAAGCCATCTTCACCCAGGCCCGCACAGAGCCCACCCAAGACCTCCCGGGGAACGACCGGCCGGAATTCGGTTCTGAGATTTCGCGGACGACTCCGGCTTCCGGCCCATATGGATCAACTTTAAGGTGTGTCTTGATGATAGTAACATGCTTCTTTTTTAAAGGCTATAATTTAACCTCATGGTGATTCAGAGTGATAATATTCATAAACATTAATTTTTGTCTATCATTTAATTAGATGATAATTTATAGGACTTTAAGACATGATGAACTATTTTCCCCTATCTAAATCTACGTAAATAGATTTCTATGCAATCTTAATCTATGCAATTTTATCAGCTCTTTATAGCTTTCCTGCTTCTATCTGCATTGCTGGGCCCTCAGGTTTCATTTGTGGGTGCTGCTCTTGTGCCTACCTCTAATGTGGGTGTTAGCTCCTTCTCACCTACTTCAAAACTAGAAAAATATCTGTTATATAAAGCTATAAAAGTCAGGACAGACTATCCAGGGACAAAATATATGCGCTAGCACTAATGGAAAATTTCCATTAGGGTCTTAGCTACCTTCCACATATCTGAACTTGCTGGAAGAGTATGCTGTTAATTTGCAGATGTGCTACAAAGTTAAGAGAAGTCAATAAATGCGCAAAAAACTCAGTTATTATGCACATTCAATTTCACATACAATCTAATTTTTAACAAAATATTTTTTCATCAACATTTTATTTTGTACTAATATCGCTACAGTCTTAATTATATTTTTCTAAAACCTCTAAGAATCTATCTTACCAACTCAAACGTAAAATAAAAATTACAAACGACAACACACTAAACATCATAAACGACATTACATATTTCTCTTAACGGTTTCATTGCAGCTCGGTTATGGAGAAACATATTGATATGTGTTCATCTCCATTCAAAAAAAATGGACACCAATTATAAATAAAAAATGTAAAATACCAACTTTAGAGTTTGCATAGCCATGCTTAAGGAGTTATAGAGGGATGGTTCTCCATGACAGGTCATATCTACAGCTTTCTTCAAAGATGTTATATGTTTCCTTGGGTTTCCTAAAATAGAAATGGCATAATCTACTTACAATAACATTTTATATATACATTATGGAAATTTGTTTCTCCCCATATTTACTTATCTATGTTGTTAAAGAATAGAATCTCTTCGATTTACATTTTTAGCAAGTTGCACTTTTATCAGAGGTGTTGTTATATCAACTTTTACTTCATACTGAAAGAATAAAAATAATCTGTTTCTATGAACTAGCACATTTTTTTTTAAAGATTCTATTTATTTATTTGACAGAGAGAGAGAGAGGGAGCACAAGTAGGCAGAGTGGCAGGCAGAGGGAGAGGGAGAAGCAGGCTCCCCGCTGAGCAGGGAGCCCGATGCGGGGCTCGATCCCAGGACCCCGGGATCATGACCTGAGCCAAAGGCAGACCCTTAACTGACTGAGCCACCCAGTGCCCCACATTTTTTTTTTTAACGTGGGGCTCGAACTCATGACCCCGAGACCAAGAGTTGCATGCTCTACTGACTGAGCCAGCCAGGTGCCCTATTAGCACATATTTTAAATATTACTAACTTAAAGGGCAAAACTTTTTACATTTAAGACTCATACATTTTCACATTGTCACATCTCTGAAGTCACGCTGCGTCTCACCATCACTGGCAGCCAGGGAGCACCTGTGCGGCAGACGTCACTGCCTGCTCCCACGTGAGCCTACGCATGGCTACCGTGGTGTTGTTCCAACTGCACCTGTACATTGTGCTATTCGTGGCTAGTTTCACTGCCATTTCAAATGTTTCTATAAAAGGTTATTAATACAAAAGGTTCTATTTTTATGTAGAAAGGCAAGGAATAGAGCAGTGAGGTATATATTATCAGTGAAGCAAAAATTCACTGATGGAAGAATGATTGCAATTCCCTATTTTTCTTCAGGGGATTAAAAAAGCTTTAGGGGCGCCTGGGTGGCTCAGTCGGTTAAGCGGCTGCCTCCGGCTCAGGTCGTGATCCCAGGGTCCTGGGATCAAGCCCCACATCGGGCTCCCTGCTTGGCGGAGAGCCTGCTTCTCCCTTTCCCTCTGCCTGCCGCTCTACCTACTTGTGCTCTCTATCTGTGTTAAATAAATAAATAAAAATCTTTAAAATAAAAAAAAATTAAGAGATTTAGAAGACCTAAGAAAAGAAGATTTCCGCAAATAAATACAGCTGTGTTATCTTCTGTTACCGAAATAACATCTGAAAAGATTGTCTATTGCTATTTTCTCATCCCAAGCAATATATTTTTTGGTGTGAACAATTTATGTGTATCATCTGACACTGTATCATATTTTAACTGCTAGGATGTTTCCTTCTTGACAGCTGATAAAACAAAGGTATCTTACAAATGATGCAATCTTAGATTCAATGACATGGTATTCTTCTGACATTTTCTCCTATTTTAACACTGTCTTCATGTTAATGATAATCAAAGTATCATTAAATTGTTTGATCACATAATTCATCAAACTACCTCCATACTGTTGAACATGTCTTCCCAATTTGTCACTGCTGTTATGAAGAGTATATTTGTAGAATGAGGCTTTTCTTCTTTCATAATGTTTCTTAAGTATAAATTCCAAGGAACAACCATTTTTATATCTTTTCCCAAAAATGTTAAATAAATTAATCAGTCTATCAGCACTACAGGTATCAGTTTCTCCATGGTTCCACAAGCAATATACTGCTTTTTAAACTTCATTTTGTTCATTTAAAATATATAAAATAATAAAATGTTGTTGAGTGGTTTTGTTTTTTGACGACTTGTTTGGCTAAAATTTCTTTTTTAATAGCTATTTTGTTTCTCTTTTTATTCTGGTATGAATTATCTGTTGTCTTTGTCCATTCGTCTACTTATAGCTTCTTCGTGTTCTTATTTATCTGAGTAAGTTTTAAAATACTAAGCATTTGCCATTATTTAATACATATTTCAAGTACTTATTTAGTCTCAGAATCCTAAGATTTTAGAAATGAAAAGTACAGGGCGCCTGGGTGGCTCAGTTGGTTAAGCGACTGCCTTCGGCTCAGGTCATGATCCTGGAGTCCCAGGATCGAGTCCCACATCGGGCTCCCTGCTCGGCGGGGAGTCTGCTTCTCCCTCTGACCCTCTTCCCTCTCGTGCTCTCTCTCATTCTCTCTCTCTCAAATAAATAAATAAAAAATCTTTAAAAAAAAAAAGATTCCCTTAAAAAAAAAAAAAGAAATGAAAAGTACATCACTAAGTCCAAATCCCTCATAAGTGAGAAATGAATCTAACAAGCTAACAGATTTGCCTAAAGACAAATACCTACCCAGTGGCAGGACCAGCACTTAAACCTACATCTCCTGGCTCTCTATCCACTTCTCTTTCTACCATACCATACAAAATAGTTCGTTCACCTCCTATTGTATTGTGAGTATAGGAAAAAAGTGAACTCGATTACTGTCAGTGTGGTTTACAGCAGTGATTCTGATCAGACAGACAAGGAGTGCTGTCAAGAGGCCTATCAAAATATCCAGAGGATTTTTCATCCCTATACATATGACTTCTCTGGCACCCCTAGAAAACTACTCTGAATGTGAGAAAGGTGCCAAGAGGGTTGGTCCTACGTCCCTTCCTGGGGGAAACCATTCTGTCCTCACAGTATAACAAACGAGCTGCTTACCCTGCTTCCATCCTGCTCCAGGAACAGGCATGTAATCCAGGCCTACCAACACAATACTGCATTCCTCTGGCCACTTTGCTCATGGGCGGGCAGATCAGAAGCAGGGTCATTCCGAGACCTCTGTGGGACTTGTGCTGAAGCTACAGACTATGAGGGTCATGGAGACTCAGGGCTAGTAACAGACATCTTTTCACCTCACTTAAGAGAATGAAGCCAAACAGAGCCAGGAACCCTGGAAACTACCATGTGTGAAATCAGCCCTCCTTTAGATGGGAGTCAATAATTTTCCTTGTATGCTAAAGCTAGCTTGAGATTTTTTTTGGTTACTCATAACTGAATTTCTTGATCACTCCAGGCTAACATAAATTTCACTCCTTACTGCCATAGTGAAAAACTATTCATGATGAAAATAATGTCATTTCAAATTTATCTGTATTGGTAAGGATGAAAGGATGAGAACCACATTTAAGGGATAGTGTATTTCACAGAAATTAAAACAGAATTAGTGATGTGAATTTGTCAAAACAGCACCAAAGCTAATAAAACCTGCACTATATTTTAAGAGAATAAAATTCAGTTAGGCATGTCGTGTAAGCAGAAAAACTGAAATATTAATAATAACTGCAATTCAATTTTTAAATCCTTTGCTCTTTAGAGGCTTAACTTCTAAAAAATTAATTTTAAGACTAAGTGGATTTTTGGAATGGTTACAGTAATTTTATCTTAATACTTTCAGGATAAGAATGTGTAAGTCTTAAATAAACATTTACATTCATTGCAGTAGTATTCATTACCGTACAGAACTCAATTTAAAACAGTTCGTCTTAGATACCAAGAGTTTACTGGAGGATTTAATCGAGGGGTTATTAAGTGTTTCACATGGAGAGCATAAAAGAAGTCTTCATTTTACTTATTAGGCAACCTTATGAACAGGGTTACAAGGTTGAGTAAATAGAGCCAAGTCCTTGAGTCCTATAAAGGTAATTTTATGCATACCTGAGAGTTCGGTCAGTTTTTCAGCTCTTTTACTCTTTGTTACAATTATTCCAATCTCAAAATAAAAACAAAAATGATTATTAACTTAACAAATTACTTCTTCTTCGTAAGAATGTACATGAAAATAAATCAGTAATTACAAAAGACATAAGTAACATACGAGAAACTTTTTCTCATGATGCTTTTGACAGAAATTTAGCTAGAGTTTACTGTACATTATTTAACTTTTAGAGTTGCCTTGCTTGTCACTGATAAATGTACCAGAAACTGGTACACAATCTGGATCACTTAATAATTCATAGAATGTATGCCCAACGTTTTAAAAATAAATTAGAATTGGCAGTAATAGCAGGAATCTAATTCTGAATTCCATCACTTATCTACATACCTGACTAATAGGATTTTGATCAAAATATTCTTCTACGAAGTATTCCAATAACTGTTTAAAGAAAACAAAAATACTAGATAAGGGCAAAATAATAACCATAAAGAAATGTTTTGTGAAACCTATTTATCAAGCATCACTTCTCATGAGATTATTAGGCTCATAATTTTCAAATATATTTAGTAAAATATTTTCAAATATCTTAGTAAAAATATTAAACAAAAATAAATTTTAAAATATTCAAATAAATAAAAATCACAGTATTAAATAAGCCTGAATTTAAAATGGTAAGTGATGAACTACGTTTAACAGATAGAACCAGGGCACTGGGTTACTCAGTTGGTTAAGGGTCTGACTCTTGATTTTGGCTCAGGTAGTAATCTCAGGGTCATGAGACTGAGCCCCAAGTCAGGTTCAGTGCTCAGTGGGGAGTCTGCTGGAGATTCTGTCGGCCCCACCCCCACACCCTGGCGCATGCGCTCTAATAAATAAATCTTCGAAAAAGAAAAATAAAAGATGGAACCATATGGACTTGTGAGACAGATGTAATCTAAACATGGAAAGATCCTATGAAGCCAGAAACAAGAGAATGAGCATAACCGAGGATGGGTTTTAATAAATTACGAATAATCTGAATGTGTTTATAAACTGGGCGGAATGATCTGAGTAAGTCCAAAGACAATGAAAAGGGATAATTGACAAAGCAAGACGCTGACTGGGGTGGGAGGACAGAAATTAAGAGCATAAATATTAGTCATTTTGTTGTATCGTTTTCCTAAACGATGTGATTAAACTTCTACTTAGCTATAGTTTGTATAAACTCAAAAAAATGCATTCTTTAAAAAAATTTCTTCATGGGAAGGTATAATATTTACTCAAGGGAAGAGAGTAGACAGAAAAAAAGAACTATGACCAAGTCCTAGGGCATTCCAGCATTCTAAAGTGGGAGAGGGGAGCCTAAGACGAAATAAAAAGACTCTATATAATCAAAGTCAAAAGAAGGATGTGTGGGGTGCCTGACTAGCTCAGTCCTTAGAGTGTGGGAATCTTGATCATGGGGTTGTGGGTTTGAGCCCCACATCAGGGGTACAGAGTTCTTAAAAAAAAAAACACATATACACACACACAAACAAAAACAAACAAAAAGAACAAAAGAAGAATGCCTTTCAGGAAGGATTAAGTGTCAACTATTTCAGTTGCTACTAAAGATAAAAAGGAGTTGAGTTTCACATCCTGGAGGTATGGTGGACCTTGAAAACGTAGTTGTGAAGGTACCATTCCAACTGGAGTGTGTTAAAGAGAGAATGCTGTGGACATTCAACTGTGGAGAGTGGATCAGTACTGTAATAAATACACACACATTCACCAATAGAGAAGATAAAGGACAAATCCAATCTAGTAAATTTAGAAAACTCATGTACAAGAAAAGGAGCGGAGGATTCTGGAGCAGAATTGAGTCCAGCAGTATGATTCAGCATCTACTTCAGCCTACTCCTCTGAAGCCCCATTCCTGACTGAAAAAGGTCCTGGGAAATTTCGCTAATACTCTTTCTTGCTTTTGGAAAGAAGTGAAGAGAGTACTGTTATCTTTTCTCCTCTTCTACCAGAAGTTATGAATGAATAGGGAAAGAAATTAAGAATTAACCTTCCTTTCAGAAGAGAAGAATCCAAGCTTCACACTTAATTGAGGAAAAGAGTTCCAAAGCTGAGAATATCTCCTCATGGAAATGCATTATATCCTCCCTCCCCTGCCCAGTTAGTTAAACAAGATATAGGACAGTTAATAAAATCTCAGAAGATAAAATGAAGCCCTGTAAATCCAGCAGAATCTGCACACCACCCAAGCTGAGCTTCACCCCTTTGGTGCACACCATTTCATCCCAGCTGCTATGCTTAGGCCACAGAAAAGTGGATAAAACATAAACTACCCAGGCTAAAATCAAGCTTTAGAAGAGAAAACATCCTCCACATAAAAACCTGTTCACAGATATTCCCAGCAGCATTATTCATAAAAGGCCCCCAAAAGTGGAAACAACCCAAAGTTGTATACAATAGAATACTGTTTGGCAAAACTACAGAAAATTTGCTTCTGTTTTCCTTTCTTTCTTTTTTTTTTTTTTAAGTTTTATTTATTTAAGTAATTTCTGCACGCAACATGGGGCTCAAATTCACAACCCTGAGACCAAGAGTCACACTCCTCTGACCGAGCCAGTCAGGTACCCCTGGGTTTTCTTTTTGTGATGATAAAAATGCTCTAAAACTGACTGTGGTAATAATGTTGTACAACTCTGTAACAGGCAAAAAATTTTAACAGTATATTTTAAGTAAGTTGATTTTATGGTATGTGAATTATATCTTAATAAAGATGTTATAGTAAAAAAAAATTTTTTTTTAGAATTCAGCGTCCTTTCTCACATTTAGTATAAATTAAAATGATTTTACTATACCTTTAAAGTACAAGTCAGTCTATTTGGCTTTAAATCTTGGTCTTCCATTGTTCTTGATCCATCTACTACCACATAAAGATGACGCATCTACCAAAAATAAACCACAAATATAACAATTTTCAAATTCAATTTTTGACCAAGAAGTAAAAATGGCATTTAGTATTTACATATTCTACACATATATATGTATATATATTTTTTTAAGATTTTATTTATTTATTTGACACAGAGAGAGCCAGAGAGCACAAGTGGAGGGAATGACAGAGGGAGAGGGAGAAGCAGACTCCCCGCTGAGAAGGAAGCCCGATGTGGGGCTCTATTCTGGGACTCCAGGATCATGACCTGAGCCGAAGGCAGACGCCTAACCATGAGCCACCCAGGCGCCCATACACATATATTTTTAATATATTCTTCTAAAATATTTGTTGTCTTACTATTATTAATTCTGTCAAGACAGAATGCTTCTCTAACCCAACTAGTTCTGTACTGGTAAAGAAAAAAAATGTCAACATACCATTCCAAGTCGAACTTGTCCATGGTGCTCAAATACTCTGTTAAAATTATGCAAACATTTTAATGGAATGTCCTCTATTACCCAAAAAATCAATATAACTTTTCAACTAACCTACATTTTCTAGTGAAGTAAATTATCAACTTATGGGGTTCACATAACTACAGGCATTTTGGACAGTCCCTGAAGACCCATTTCCCTTCTGAAGTGCTAGGCTGCTGTTTTCTTCCCCCTACTCAAGAGTTTAAAGGTCAGTTTCTCTAGAATACAGCTGAAATGAAGTACTGAGGAGTGGGGATAGGTGGACAGAAAGGCTTAAAGGAATCTATTTTATCTTTAGTAACACACCTACAAAAAGTTTACATACCTTTTTCTCTTTGCTTTGAAGAGAATGTCTTCTATCGTAGCTTTAAGTGATCCTGATTCATCTTCTTTAAGAATCTCCCTATAAGCAATATTTACTTGTCTGAAAAGCTAAAATTTTATTAACCCAAAAGAAATGAAAACATATGTCCACACAGAGATCTGCACATGAATGTTCACAGCTGCATTATTCATAAAAGCCAAAAAGTATAATCAATCTAAATGTCCATCAATTGACAAATGAATGAATGAAAACATGGTATACAATATAATGCTATTAAGTAATAAAAAGGAATGCATTACTGATCCCTGCTACAACATGGATGAACCTTGAAAATACTGTTATATGAAAGAAGCGAGACAATACTGACCACATATTATAAGATTACATTTACATGAAATACCCAAAAAGGCAAATGCATAGAGACAAAAAGTAGATTAGCAGTTGCCTACAGCTGGAGGTAGGAATGAAGTTAATCACAAATGGGCATGAAGTATCTTTTTTTTTTTTTTAAGATTTTATTTATTTGACAGCAAGAGAAAGAGAGAGATCACAAGTAGGCAGACAGGCAGGCAGAGGGAGAGACAGAAGGCGGCTACCCGCTGAGCAGGGAGCCCGATGCGGGGCTCGATCCCAGGACCCTGGGATCATGACCTGAGCCAAAGGCAGACGCTTAACAGACTGAGCCACCCAGGCATCCCTGGATATGAAGGATCTTAATGGGGTGGTAAAATTTTCTAAAACTGATTTATGGTGATGACTGCACAACTCAGTAAATCTTCTAAAAATCAATGAATTATAAGTTGGAAACAGGTGAATTTTAACATGCGTTAAATATACTTTAATAAATTTAAAAAACCAATCACTGAACGAGGAGAGAGATAAAGGTGTAGAAGAACAGTAAGAAACAATGTGTAAACGAGAAGGGAGTCATAATGCCCTACTCACCATGTCCTTTCATAGCCTCCTTCCCATCGCTTAGTTCTTTCAGGTTCTTCATCCATTTTTTCCTTAAATGTATTATTCAGTATCCTGTAAAAGTCACTGAGTGTGAATTTTCTAAAAATATCTGGCACAAAATTCATACTTTTTTTTTAAAGATTTTATTTTATTATTTATTTGAGAGAGAGAGAATGAGAGATAGAGAACACGAGAGGGAAGAGGGTCAGAGGGAGAAGCAGACTCCCCGCAGAGCAGGGAGCCCGATGTGGGACTCGATCCCGGGACTCCAGGATCGACCTGAGCCGAAGGCAGTTGCTTAACCAACTGAGCCACGAGGCGCCCCAAAATTCATACGTTTAAATGTGAAAAGTAAAGAGAGGGAAGCAAACATACAAAGTAAAAAACAGAGAATGCAAGGTCATCTAATTCTTTGCAATTTATTCAATAATTGTTGTTGAACGAAAATACTTCACAAAATCCTCATGGAACTCTTTTTCCCGTCCGTTAGAAAAAATATAAACGTTTACGCAAAAGTTTGGCACTAAGAGAGAGAAGCATCTTTTTACAAACCTTTTTAAAGTTGTTTTAAAGATTTTTATTTATTTGTCAGAGAGAGAGAGAGAGCAAGCGCACAAACTGGGGGGACCGGCAGGCTCCCCACTGAGCAAGGAGCCCGAAGTGGGACTCGATCCCAGGACCCTGGGATCATGACCTGAGCCAAAGGCAGACACTTAATGATTGAGCCACCCAGGAGCCTCTCTTTTTACAATTTTTTTTTAAAGATTTTGTTTATTTATTTGACAGAGAGAGACAGCGAGAGAGGGAACACAGGCAGGGGGAGTGGGAGAGGGAGAAGCAGGCTTCCCGCCGAGCAGGGAGCCTGATGTAGGGCTCGATTCCAGGACTCTAGGACCATGACCTGAGCCGAAGGCAGATGCTTAACGACTGAGCCACCCAGGTGCCCTCTTTTTACAATTTTTAAAAACAAAAATGCATTATAGTCATAGGACAAGACCACAGAACTATGGAAAGTGAGTAAAGATATAGATGAAACAAGATTAGCTACAAATGATGGTTATTATTACAGCTGGGTGATGGATCATGGTGATTCACTGTACTACCTGTCCACCTTTGTATATGTGTGAATTTTCTTATAATAAAAAAAAAAAAATCTGGGGCACCTGGGTGGCTCAACTATTAACAACTATTATGATCTCAACTATTAAAAAAAGAAAAAGGAAATGTTCAGTAATTCAATACAACATGGTTTCATCTAGATGAAGGGTGATTGGTTTTTTGTTTTATTACTTTCTGTATTTTCATATTTTTCATATGAACATGTATTTCTTTAATAATCAGGGATAAAACTGGTGGTGGGGGAAATCTATTAACCAGAGCCAAGTAATAAACATTCTAGTCACATCTACACTTCCATCATCCCAAATGGAATCTCCCTCCCCATCCTATGCTCTCACTTCCTTCAGCTTCCTTCTTCCATATATGATCAAAGGAATCGTAAGGGCCAAGAAGACATTAAGGACAAAACAAACCCCATCACTGACAGGAGGAAAAATTAATTTCTGTAATAAGGACCATAAGCAAGACCTTACCCGCCACCTACATCGTGGTTTTCTATAGAAAAATAGATTTTAAAATCTAAAGAACTGACTTATAAATGGACTTTTGGAATGAAACTCTATTAACAAGTTGGAGACTGCTTTCATGGCATCACTGCTTTCTGTGGCACCTGCTATAATCAGGTATTATTTGCTAAAGTTCTGTATCTCTCAATGAATTAACAAACCATTCCCTGGCATTGGAAGAAATCTATTTGTTTCAGGAAATCTGGTGATCTACTTTACTATATACTTCGGTAGATTGCCTGAAGTAATGACAAGTGACTTAATTCTAACATTTGTGTTATTTCAACACACTGTGCTGGTGCTTGTAAGTTTAATGATGAGTGCCTGCACTCAGAGGATATGGTGATTAAATGAACTTTTTGATCCTCCATGAAAGTTTCTGTATTTACTGTGAATTACAAAATTCTGTATTTACTGTGAATTACAAAAATCAAAGCTTACATAGTGTTCTTGATGTTTTTAAATTCTTACAAAGTCACTACTGCCATTCATCATATCAATATTTACAGTATTTTATTCTTAGTTTATTACTTTTAATTTTCTTAAAGTTCAGAAACACAGTGAGAACTGATGAGCAGAAACTGCAAAGAGGAACACTTCTGGCTCACAACATCCAAGGACTTCCTAATTAGAGCTGACTGCAATGGGAAATTACAGGGATAGGACAGAGGTATTAAGCTCCCATAACTACAGATGTTCCAAGGGAAGCTGGAAGTTTATAATGCATGTTACTAATAGAGAAGGAAGTTATGCATCCTGGAGAAAGATGTAGTTGGTGACCTCTTAGGTCCGTATCTCCAAAAGCTGATCCGTTTCCTGAAACTCCAACTCCAGAAAAGCCACTGTGCCTAGCGTCAGCCTGTTGGTGTGATTCCTGTCACATGAGCTCAGAAAGCTACTGCAAACAAACGAGATCTGCACCAAACATCGCAATTTATGAAGCTTTTATTCACACCTTACCCTGCCAAGCGCTACTAGGCATGGGTGATCACTATCCTGTTTTCATACATGGAACTCGAGGCTCAAAAGGCCGGTAACGCTCTCGAGGTCACACAGCTGGAGGCAATCAAACTCGAACCCAAGACCGCAATTCCCGAAACTCGCGTTCCGCTTTAGCAAAGGAGAGCCATTCCCTGGACTGCAGCCCTAGATGGTTCTATGCAGCTAAGAGACGGAAGTTGCCCTTCTCCCCCTTCACACGCTCCCTCCCACCCTCAATCCACAAAGCACAAGAGGCTGGTCGGCCCCCTTCAGCCTCCGCCCCCACCCCCCGTCGCGCCGCGAAGGCCCCTCCTTGCTGCCGTGCTCCCCAGACGGTCGGTCCCCACCTTCGCTCCGCGAGAAGCTCTACCCGCGGACTCACCGGTCTCGTAGGACGCCGCTCTACCCGGAAGCTCCGTCCAGTCGGCTCCAAGGCCTCGGCGGAAGTCCTTCCCCTGCGCGCGGCGGCGACGCACTAACGTTCCGGTTGCTGCGAGCGTCGGTCGCTGGAGCAGGGCGCTCGGGGGCCGGGCGTCCCAGAAGCTGATGAAGCTGCGAGAAGGAGCCTCTTGCCCCACTCTCCGCTGTTATTCACAAAAACGCGGGAAAAGTGATCTCCGTTCGGCCGGGTAGCCGTCGACCCGGGATCTTAGGAGCTTAAATTTTGTGTATTATGTCTCTAAGGTTGGCATGAAGGACTGATCGCAGCAGCGGCAACTACGCCAGAACCTTGCGGTGCAAGAGTTTTCTGGGACTGCTCTGCGGCTCCTGTTCATGCAACAAGTATTATTGGGCACCTGCTTTGAGCCTGATACAGTTCTAAGCACTGAGTAAATAGCAATTAAAAACTAATCCCTGCCCCCCGTGGAATTCTTCTATGAATATATTTGTCGAGAAAAACATACTGTATCACATGGTGATAGTGCAAATAGAGAAAAATTAAGCATGGAAGGGGAACATGGTCCCAGCTTAACAGTGTAGTCCGAGGAGTCCTCACTGACAGTTGAGCCATAACCGGAATAAGGAAGGGAGTTAACCATACTTAAACCCAGGGCAAATCCTCCCGAGGCAAAGGGAACCTCAAGGGCTAAGGCCCTGAGGTGGAAACCCATCCGTATGTTTCTGGGACTGCATGAGAAAACGGGTTGAGCGATGGTAGCTGAAATCGGCCGCGGGCTCTGAACATTTTAGTAACTTTGGTGGAATGACAGTGGTTTGGACGAGGATAGTATGACTGCAGCTAGTGAGAAGGGTTGGATTCTAGATCTTGTCAATAGATGTGTGTTAGGAAAAAAGATCCAATGACCCAAAAGTTTTCAGCTGAGCAACTGAAAGGTTAGAGTTGCAATTTCTGAGAGAATGGGGGGTGGTTAAGATCTGTTCAGTTTTGGACAAGTTTGAGATGCTTGAGATGCCTGCTAATATGGAAATGGTAGTGTGCATGAAAACAGCAGTGCCTTAAAATAGGCTAAAGGCCTAAGATGTCAGCCTTCTGTGACTACCTGAGGTGACCTCAAGCGGAAACCAAAAACAAGAAGTGGAAACCAGTTAGGCAGAGGTCTGCAGGCAATATTTTTTTTAACAAATATGATAGAAACACAATGTATTAAGATGACCCAAGGGTTTTTCACATGTCTATGTGGAAATCAGTGAAGCTAAATTTTTACAATGGAACTGATTGTACCTTGTGACACAATCAATTAGAGAAACTGCTTGCAAGCACATCTACCCCTTCCCACTTTTGCGTATATAACCCCTGTGAAGCTAAGTTTCAAAGCAGTTCTGAGCAATCTGAAATACTGTTTCCTGGGCCATAGTCCTCAGTAAGACAAATAATGCATTTACTAACCTACTTGGAGGTTGGCTTTTTTTTTTTAGACGACACTAAGCATTTCCTACACTTGAGAAGCGGAGATGCAAGGTCCAGCCAGAGCATCAGAGAAAGCTTACATCCACGTGAGGAACAGTGTGGGAAGGAACTGCAGGAACTGGAGCTTATTTCCCCATCAGCATACGCTCCCCTTCTGCTGCCTATATTGCTTTGTTGGTACCAACATCTTCCCTTGTGTTCTGCCCCCTCAAAAACATAAACAAGCCATGCTGCATGATACTGGAAAGAAAAGACCTGGATTTAAAATTAGGCTCTGCCACACTAGCTGGGTGACCAACAAGCAAGTCACAAACTATGTGTTATGTATAAAGTAGGGATACCTTCACCTACACACGACATAGTGGCAACCCCATTACCAGCTTTTATTTCCCCCCCGGAGGACAAAGGCCTTATTATTTTCAGTGTTGTCTTTAAAAAGGAGAGGAGAATTTGGCATTGCTGATTCCTTCCCAGTGCCAGTCACCTTTTGTTTTTGCCTCCCCCACATCTTTAACTCTTCACAGGACTCACACTTTTTCCTTGCCCTTCCTACTTTCCCTCCATTCTCCCTTCCTTTCACAAACTCCACTTTTTCTTTTCCTCCATTCTGGTTGGCCATCATGTTCCAGGACAGGATGCATTCTTATGGGACAACTGGTCACAACCCCAAGCCCCAAGCATGTATCTTGCATATGTTCACTATCCATCAGTCTGGGAAGACCTTTTTTTTTTTTTAAAGATTTTATTTACCTGACAGAGAGAGCACAAGTAGGCAGAACAGCAGGGAGAGGGAGAGGAAGAAGCATGCTCCCCGCTGAGCAGGGATCCTGACGTGGGGCTCGATCCCAGGACCCTGGGATCATGACCTGAGCCAAAGGCAGCCGCTTAACCGATGGCGAGCCACCCAGGCGCCCCTGGGAAGACGTTTAATTAAAAATTTCTTAATTTTTATTTTATGTACGCTCCACACCCAATGTGGGGCTTAAACTCATGACCCTGAGATCATGAACCCCACGTTCAACCGACTGAGCCAGCCAGGCACCCCTAGGGAAGGCTTTTCTTTTGAATGAAAAAAAAAAAAAGTAGTCCCCAGTAAAGTATATTTGTGAAGAGGAGGCTGGATCATTCAAACTCACAACTGTGAAGTTTACTTTCCTCTGTATATATTTTAGTCATAGATCTTAACTAGGAGTTGTACCAAGGCAAAACAAAACGTGCATAAATCCATGGTAATCCCTTGCCGTTAACTATGGCTGACACAACATTCTAATTGTATACAAATTGGGAGAAGAAATGGATCTGACCTAGCCTAATGTTTCAACTAGTAAAACGAAGGGACAGCTATGAAGAATGGACCAGTCTGTTCTTTGCCCATGGGTAGGTGAACACAGTCCCCAAGGTTAATAAATTTATGAAGAACTCAGCCAGTGTTATTACACTAAAATTCAGCATGCACAACTTTGGAGACTGGGAGAGGTGAACTTGATGGAAGTATCTGTAAAGATACTTTCTCACACAGAGACTCATTAAAAACCTCCACAACTGCTTTTAACAGAATACAATAATCCTTATTTTGACATGTTAGAGCACTTGTTCATCATCTATTGTCACAGTACCAAGCCTAATGCAATTATCTAAAATTCAAAAGAACTCATACCCTAACGCTGCACCCCAGCACAGACCAAATAAGGACTTGGATGATACACACATTCTTAAAACACAATTTGTTTTTTAAAAACTTGTTTCAAGTCTCACCTTCCAGCTGTGGGAAATCGGTTTAACTGGCCATGTTTATTACATTCTGACAAGCACTGTTGTTCTAAGTCCTAGTTAACTACCTTCATTAACAACTGTGAGATCAGGTACACATAGTTCTTCAACAAATAAACAAACTGAGGGGCAGGAAGGCTAAGTAATTTGTCCAGGGTCACAAAGCAAGTAATTGCTGCAAGGCAAAGCAAGAATAGGGCGACACAAGCAGGGAAGAGCGAGGGTTCTGTGACAGCGACTAGAAATCTTGGGGGACCCCTACATTGGGTTGCAGTACCCCCCACAAAATCAATTATGTTTCCATGCTTTTCTCTAACTGCAAAGTGGCATTATTTTAACTTAACAGTGCTTTCTAAAAACTACCCAAGTTAGGGACGCCTGGGTGGCTCAGTCGGTGAAGCGTCTGCCTTCGGCTCAGGTCATGATCCCAGGGTCCTGGGATGGAGTCCCACATTGGGCTCCTTGCTTGGCAGAGAGCCTGCTTCTCCCTCTACCTGCTCTGCCTGCCGCTCCCCCTGCTTGTGCTCTCTCTCTCTCTGACGAATAAATAAATAAATAAACAAAAAACAAAACAAAACAAAAAGAAACCACCCAAGTTACTTGGGCATTTTTCTTTGTGAAAACTTCCCATTAAAAGACATGTGAACAGTATAAAACGCAGGAGGAGGGATGACAAAGCCGTCCATCTAAGTCATTTGTCCTTCCACAGAAGTTACACAGTTAATGCAGAACCACAAGCTGCCAGGAGACGGGGTCTGAATCCTGATTACTCCAGCTGAGCTTTCAGAGATGTCCAGAGGAGATACTTCTACCACAGTGATGAAGGAGGAAGCATGTCTCTGGGTGAGGAACTCTTACAGCCTCAACTGAAAGTCCCCAGAGCCATGACTGGAGAACTCTTCTCCTGCTCATTCCCTTCTTTACACATGCACACCCATTCAGGTCTTTACAGATACTTCCAATATTTCAAACGAAGCATTTTATGTTAATTAAAAGTACTTAAAATGCACTAAAAATATATTGTATTAACACCAGAGTAATCCCATCTTACCCATGAATTTAGTGACAGTCAACCTAGAATGGGAGTCCAGAACCTAATATTCCAACAGACCAAGACTGCAATCCTATTTAAACACTTGCTACTGTCTGACAGTGGACCAGTTAATCTACCACATCATCAGTTTTCTTACCTATTAAATGAGAATGAGAAATGATTACATGTCAATGGAATGTTATAAGGATTAAATGATAATTTCATGTATGTGTGTATACAATGTAACTTTTACTATAAATACCAACAGGCTTCAATTTATTTCAAAAAATACAAGGCATATATGACAAAACTAAGACCTGTTCTTTCTGGCAGATGGATATGTGTTTATAGTTTTCTATTTTTCTTTAAATTTTTCAAAATAAAGAGAAATTAAAATATTGATCTTATCTACTTTGAATACAGAAGCAACTATGTAAAGGCATCCCTGTGTGCAGTTAACCTTTATCAGCAGGACCACATGCTTTCACAACAGAATTTCTGGAACAATCGTTTAAAATAGAAGGCAGACTGCAGACGTTAAGAACCTCAGGTCAGAGATGCACGAGACCTCCAACAACTAATCTAAACATCTTGTTGTCCAAACTAGAAATCGGCCTAAGTGGTTCTTTAGTTACATCCAGCTGGTTGATTCCAAGTGGTCTTTAAGCACCACATTTGAGAAACTATTTTCTTGTATTTTATTTCTAAGTCCAATTTTCTGACACAATTTTACAATGGAAATTCATGCTATTTGATTTTGTTCGTTGAGCTGTCTAGTTTTGTCAGAATCCTGGCATCCTTGCCATCTTCATAATATAAGTACACTGACTTCCAAGAACAAAGAAATTTAAATTTTAGCATACATAGAAATGAGTTAATTTGCTCAAGAGAGTCTTTACCATTCGGTGTGAAACCAAAAGGTATGAAAACTATAAACTCTTACCTTTTGTAATATGTACAGCACATGGAAAATTAAGAATTTCTTCAATTTGAAGAAATGAATCAATGTTATAATAGAAACATTATTTTAAGAAGTATCTTTGGAAAATGATTCAGACTTGTATATAAAGAATTACATACTTGTCTGAATTGTATACTAATGATTATTTAAAGATTATTCTTCAAAAATTTTACAAAAACAGTTCTAAACTGAGGGGACAATCACAATCAACTGGGCTAGCTATATGCCCACTATCAGCTACTTTCACTTTACTAATAAAAGTTTAAGTTAAAAAAAAGTGATGGGCACCATCTGAAATAATTTGATGTTTTGTGGGATTGCCCTCTGTTTCCGGACAAATCAGCCTTCTGATAGCCAAAAGACTGGGAAATTTAGTAACCAGCACAGCACCCAAAATAGTTTAAAACATTAACAGATAAAACCCCAAACTTAATAGCACTAATAATGTCAAACGACTATATGAAAGAAGACAACACCAGGCTTAATACCTTAGGAAGTATATACAGAACTTGAACATTGTTTAAGATACCATTCAAGTCACAACCGAATTAGCAACGTCATCAGATACTCTGATATAATGAAAAAGCCTAGTTTAAAAAAAAAATGCATGTAAACCATAAAAGATTACAAAGTATTTTAGAATACACAACAGAAATCTAACCAGGAGGTTTAAATTTTGATTCTTAAAAGGTGAATATATATTTACAATCTTTAAGTTTCACAATTTGTTATTTTTACATGATCTTTATTCTCTGGATAACATAAAACAATAAAAAGCTCTTTTAACACCACTGATACACAGAAAAAAAAAAAAATCAATAGGGAGGTTGGTAGAATGCACTAGCGATAGTTAGCTAACATACAAAAGGCCAGGGACTTTATTCATGGACTCAAGTCACAAAACAGACTGAAAAAAAAAAATTGCAAGCCAGTTAACAGGCACTTTCCCTTCAGAGACTTCACTGCAGGGACAGAGTTTCCTTACCTTAGAAGGAATGGTTATAAATAACAATTTTGAAGGCAGAGTTCTGGGAGGAATGGATGAGATCACCTATGGGAACTAATGAGCGCACTTACGTGTTAAGAAAAGACTGTGCAAGTTCACAGCACAGGTCACCGTGGGACGTTCCTTCAAGGTTTAAAAACCTCAACCTGTAGTCAGTCAGTCCTTAATACAATAGATGAATTTTAAAGCACAGAATCCTTAATTGGAGTGTTCAGCCCAGTTGATTATCAAAAGCTATTTATAAAATGCTTCAATACTCAATACTGATGAATTAAAGCTACCAAAACTTTGTAATGATCACAAAGATTTGGCCTCCTGGGTTAAAATCCAAAGTCATTTTGCCTCTTGACAACATTGCAGAGATGTCAAATACTTCTTAATCTCTCAAACCGTGTGGCAAACCTTCTATGTTTTCTGTCTATCATAATCTCCGACCATCTTCTTGATGTGTGACAATTTGCTCTTCAACTGTTTGCAATAATTCCTCTTATTTTTGTAATCTGCAGACTAAAAAGGAAAAAAAAAATAAACCAGGTAAATTTAACAAAATAAAAACAAGTTGTGTTAGGGGGCAGGGAGGCAGAGGTGAATAAAAAAAAAAAAAACGTAGAATAGGGGCACCTGGGTGGCTCAGCTGGTTGAGTATCTGCCTTTGGCTCAGGTCATGATCCCAGGGTCCTGGGATCAAGCCCCACACTCAGCTGAGCAGGCAGCCTGCTTCTCACTCTCCCTCTGCCTGCCACGCCCCCTGCTTGTGCTCTGTCAAATATATAAAATCTTAAAAAAAAATCGAATATTAGTCAAATAAAATTGTTGGGGGTGATGATACAGGCATCTGGCAGTTTCTCTGATCATATAGGAAGCTGATTCTTTTTCCTCAATCATACCTTCTAACCTGAGTTTTACAAAGCATACGCTAATTTCTACTGGTTTGTAAAGTGACCCAAGACACTTACTGGCCTTTTTGCGAACACATCATCTAAAAAATCAGTCAACAGGGGTGCTTGGCCAGCTCAGTTGGTAGAGCATGTGACTCTTGGTCTCAGGACTGTGGGTTCAAGCAATACGCTGAGTGAAGAGATAACTTAAAAATAAAATCTTTTTTTTTTTTTTAAGATTTTATTTGAGAGAAAGAGAGCGCACCAGCAGGAGGAGAGGCAGAGGGGGAAGCAGGTTCCCTGCTGATGTGGGGCTCCATCCCCCAGAACCTAGAGATCATGACCTGAGCCAAAGGCAGACGCTTAACCATCTTGTCAGAGAGAGAGAGAGAGAGAGTACAAGCAGGGTGAGCAACAGGCAGAGGCAAAGGGAGAAGCAGGCTCCCTATGAGCAAGGAGCCCAACACAGGACTCAATCCCAGACCCAGGGATCATGACCTGAGCTGAAGGCAGACACTTAACCGACTCAGCCACCCAGGCACCCCCTCAAAATAAAACCTTTAAAAAAAAAATCAGTAAAACAAAAACTGGTGATATTGGTTGACTTGGGAAGGAAGAAATGGGTAAATGAGGAATTTTACTATATACTTTACTTTTTTATTTTTATTTTTTTAAAGAAATCTCTACAACAAGGGGCACCTCGGTGGCTTAGTTGGTTAAACATCTGCCTTCAGCTCAGGTCATGATCCCTGAGTCCCGGGATCAAGCCCCGCATCAGGCTCCCTGCTCAGGAGGGAGTCCGCTTCTCCCTTTGACCCTCCCCCCTCTCATGCCCTCTCTCTTTCTCTCTCATTCTCTCTCTCAAATAAATAAAATCTTTAAAAAAAAAAAACAAACACATAATAGAAAACTTCTTCCTGAAAGAATCTTACAATCTGGGATACTTACTCCCTTAACTTGCTTCAGTCTATTGTACTCATCAGCAGCAGCCTATTAATGAGAAACACAAGAGAATATGTTTAGTGGGACATTTTCTCTTTCAAAAATAACATTCTTGATGTTCTATTTTGGAGCTAAAGCTGACAACAATGCCAAAAATACAGGAAATTAAAATAATGAAGTTTTTAGGTTCGTACAACTATTACAGTCAGCAAGAGGGCCTGAAGGAAGCCAGTAAAGAGAAATCTAGGACTTATTCCTCACGTTCCATTCACACAGACAGGTAACTATCTGTTTTGCTGCCTCTCATCTGTCCTCATGCCGGTCCACGTGCCATGCTGACACCAGAGATCTTCTGCAAAGCATAGCTCTCATCTGGTTACAGCCCATTATGAAACTGGTCTGAGCTCCCTAGTAACTAACTTAAATATATATGTATATGCATATGTATATCTATATGGTAAATATATTTACATATACACACACTAATATATGTATTTGTGACGTATATATTAAATATGAGTTAACATATTACATATTATACATATATAAAATAATTTGAGCAATAAGTTAGTATTGGATTATAACCCGAAGTATAAAATAGATATCCACGAGTCGATACTGACATAAAACATAAGATAACTTCTTATCAAAGATGGTGTGTGTCTAGGTGCACTTTTGCATGATGGGGATATTTTAACAACCATTACCCTGGTGACAACCAGGTGACAGAATTTAAGACAGTTTATTTTCCTGTACCCGATTCTGTAATGTTAATATTTTACAGAAAGAATGAACTGTGTTTATAAATAGAAAAATAGTTTTTTTTTAATAGGAAGGAATATATGTACATAGCCTATGTTTTGTACTTCTTAACTACATTAGTACACTCTTCAATTTGGAAAGATTTTCATCCAAGACTGGATTTCAGTTATTTTTCAATGAAATCAATTTAAGAATTGCTAGCAAAATCTGGTAACAGAAAGGATACTAGATCTTCATAGATTAGAATAACATCATATATAATATATAGTTATCAGGTTTGAATTTACCATGTACTCTTCATTTTCTTCTCTATAGTCATCCAATTCTTTATCCAGACGAGAGAGTTCTTTATTGACCTCATCAAGTTCTGCTTGTAAGCTCTTGTATTCCTGCAGGCCAGTGTCAAAATTTCTCTTGTAGAGTTGTCTTTGTTGATCTGAAGTGATGGGTGGATATTCCCTAAAAATTAAGAAAATGACTACTTATGACTCTAGCAGACATAAAATCCAGTGTTTCTTCATCAAAGATAATGAAGCTGGTGGGATGTGAAGAATGACAATCTCCTGTCTTCTTTCGTTCCTTATGGAAAGAGGAAGGTGGAATGCAAATAAGTTCTCTTAGGAAGATTATAGGTTAGGGGTGCCTGGGGCATCCGACTCCTGATTTTGGCTTAGGTCATGATCTTGGGGTCATGAGATCTAGCCTCTTCAGGCTCCAGGCTCAACGTGGCGGCTGCTTAAGATTCTCTCCCATTCCCTCTGCCCCACCCCACTGTTCTCACTCTCTCAAAAAAAAAAAAAAAATGATTATACATTATACACCACTGCTTATGCTTTTAAAAATACTATGCTGGGCGGGGGCGCGGGCAGTGCCTGGGTGGCTCAGACAGTTGAGTGGCTGACTCCTGGTTTCTGCTCAGGTCATGACCTCAGGGTCCTGGGATCAAGCCCTGCATCAGCTCCATGCTCCGTGGGGAGTCGGTTTGAGATTCCCGCTCTCGCTCTCACTCTACCCCTCCCCAAGGTCGTGCATGCCCTGTCTCTAAAATACATACAGCTTTAAAAATAAAATACTATGCTTATATAATTTTTAGAAGTAAAATTAAAAATCATTTATGAAATTTAAGGTTCAAGTCATAAAAACTCATTTATTCTAAATATACAACACCACATGATAATAGAATATTTACGTTTAAAGTCTTAAAACTGGAATTCTGGAACACAGTATGTTTTCATCATTAGAGTGGCAGAGCAACGGACTGGCAGCTGGTTGTTTTCTGCTACCAACTACAGATTTTAGATTGTTTTTTCAATTGATTGATCTTGTTTTCCTAAGCAGAAATAACTTATTTTAAGTCCTTTGATTATAAAAGTAGACTTTAAATGTACATGTACAAAAATACATGCTCATCGTACAAATAATGTGGCAATGCACTAAACTGAAAATAACCCTGAAATTCTGTGTCACTTGTATCTCTCAATATACTAGCTATTTTTACATATCACCGTGATGCTATTAACTAATAATCCACTGAGGAAATACTCTGAACTGTTTCACAGAACTAAGGAACTTCATAGCAACATGGAATTTCAATTTTTAATATCTAAATTGGCCTAACATCTTCATTTTTACAAAGGGGAGAAATTAAATGGTTTGCTCCAAAGAAGAAAGAATTCAGGTTTCTTAAAAGTTTTCATTTAAATCTTCAATGATTCAAGTTAAAAAAGTATTTTATAGCTAGATGGCTGAACTTGGCCAAGAACTTCTCTTTCTGAAGATATGAGAGACAGAGAGCAAGTAAGCGTGTGGGGGAGGGGGAAAGGGAGAGAATCTCAGGCAGACTCCCCACTGAGTGGGGAGCCCCACATGTGGCTCGATATCATGACATGAGCCAAAACCAAGAGTCAGAGGTTTAACCTACTGAGCTACTCAGGCATCCTTGGCCAAGAACTCCTGTGGAGAGAGGGGAAGGTGAAGTATGAGAACCCCCAGTGAGATTTCAAATTATACTATACCACTCATCGCCTCCTTATACCCTGAGAAGCAATGTTGTGATGAACCACCATTCACACCACAAATGTTTCTGATCTGTGTCCCATTTCTCAGAATACCTGGGCATCAAAGGGCTACACATCACACATGAGTATAGCTGGTAATGAACTGTAACTCAACCACCAACACCTAGGAACTTAACCACAGCCTTGGCCAGAACACTGAATTGTTAACTTAATTTTTTTTTTTTTAAGATTTTATTTATTCATTCATGAGAGACAGAGGGAGAGAGAGAGAGAGAGAGAGAGAGAAGCAGAGGGAGAAGCAGGCTCCCAAGGAGCAGGGAGCCCGATGCAGGACTCGATCCCAGGACTCTGGGATCACGACCTGAGCCGAAGGCAGACGCTTAACCATCTGAGCCACCCAGGCGCCCCAACTTAATTGTTTATATAACTGTTTGCCAAAGTCCTCTGGATTAAACTTTTAAAAGAATCTCTGGTCTCATCATGAAACCTTAAAAGTGAATGCCAAAGAAAGCCATAGCACTGGTCTGGGAATTTTATAATCAGTAACCGAAGTTCCTCTATACTGGTGTTTTATTTGTTTGGAAGACCTTTCTTGGGTGACTACTGGTGCAAGAGCACTGGTGAAGTTCATCGGTCACCTTGTGGAAGACGCTCAACGTGTTTCTAGGACACAGTTACAGCCAAGCATATCCCCTCCCTGTCCATCTTTATTACCAAAGAGTACTAAGGGGAAAAAAACCTAACAAAAAATATCTCCAGTCCTGGCTGTCAAAGAATGAAAGCATGCCACCGCACCCCAGCGGAGCAGGCAAGCAGTCCCCAAGCTGGCTGACCAGGCCAGCAATCAGATCCCGTGCATGAGGCACCCCACTACCTGATCCAGTCCTCCTCCAGCTCGTCGCACGACTCGCCACCAGTTGTGTAGTCTGTCTCATAGTGGTCCTGCTCCGGCCGCTTAGCCTTGCCCGCCCTGCCTTTCGTGGGGGCCCTCTTGGAAGGCGTCTCGAAGTTCCTGCTGCTGCTGTAGTGAGGCTGCCTGAGGTCGCCCACAGCTGAGGTCACCGGCAGCTCCCGCACCACTTCAGGCACCCTGACAAAACAGCAGTCAGTGTTTGGGGATCGCGAGGCCAGGGAGTGCCCTGTCATCACAGAGGGCAGCAACAGCTCGCACCAAGAGACCTCCACACCTACGTGCGTTCACGCAAGCAGTTCACCTACTCGACACGAGGCAGATCCCCAGGCTCCAGCGTGCAGATGAGCACCAGCTCAGGCCCTCTGGAACACACCAAGTGGCTGTAAGGTTCCGATGTAAGGGGAGCGCGTTTGTAAAACCTTCTAAGTAAGATGGACCTAAGACTGCACTTTAGGAAGCCCAGGCTGATCTGGAAGAGGTGTTTACCAGACCTGAGCCAGGGACTTACTCCACAAAAGGCGGTCAGGAAAATAACAACTCAGGATTCTTTTCTACAGGTTCTTCCAGTTTCATGGAATGCAGAGTGCTGAAGAGAAATGCATGTATCTGTCTACCTTCGGAAGCTAACGCTCAGAGGTAAGCATTTTTAATATTAATTTTAGACTCCTATACATCAATTTTCTTTTCAAGATACAATCTCGGAAAACTAAAATACTCAAAATTTAAACAACTGCTACGTGAATCCTATAGCCATGTAGACTGAATGGCATGGAAGGACTACCATTAGACTTATTTTTCTAATGCAGTAATTTAATATTGTATCAGATCTTTAACTGCATAGGTTTCTGCCACAAGCATGAAAATGAAGCCAAACGCGGAATAAAAGAGCAAGAGCTGTGGCAACTGTTAAGTATCTGGTGAGTAACAGTGATGCAGAACTAAACTCTCCCTAGTAGCAGAGCTAACGGGCAAGAAGAGCACTGAAAGGAAGACAAAGAACACACCAGAGACTTTCTAACCTCAGCCTTGCTATTCAAATCAACTATTAAAAATGCTTGAAGTTTTTGTTTTCTCATTGCTTTCAATTTACAGAAACTATAATCTTGAGCTATGTCTGTTTTCTAGGTGATCCAGAACTGCTTGCTTCTAATTGTTGTCCAAGTCTTCAGATTTCTATCACACTTACTAATGTCTTGTAGAAGCCTAAAGCTTTGGGATGTGTGTGCATAGTTGGCGGTGGTAAATGGGATTCATGCCTTCTTTCTGAATGTATTCAGGTCACAGTGGCTTTGTGTGCTGTTATTGCTACATCTAAAGAAGGGAAAATGTGACTTTCTCCATGAGTCAATGAGTAACAATTTCCTAGACACTCTGCCAAAATTGCCAGGTATTCTGCTTCTCGCTTTGGGGATGCAGTAGGTGTATTTGAGGGAATAGGAGCTAGAGAAGAAGGAAGCTAAACAGCAAAAGAAATTAGAAAAAAAAGGGGCGCCTGGGTGGCTCAGTTGGTTAAGCGACTGCCTTCGGCTCAGGTCATGATCCCAGGGCCCTGGGTTCAAGCCCCTCATCGGGCTCCCTGCTCAGCAGGAGGCCTGCTTCTCCCTCTCCCACTTCCTCTGCTTGTGTTCCCTCTCACGCTGTGTCTCTCTCTCTGTCAAATAAATAAATAAGTAAATCTTTTTAAAAAAAGAAATTAGAAAAAAAACCCTAAAACATTAAAACAGGCCTCCCCCATAATTATATTAGATACTGATATTATAAATCTTTACTTTGTTGTGCTCCCTGCTCAGCGGGGAGTCTGCTTCTCCCTCTCCCTCTGCCCCTTCCCCTTGCTTGCGTTCTCTCTCCCTCTCTCTCAAATAAATAAATAAAATCTTTAAAAAAATAAATCTTTACTTTGGAAGTTTTCCACCTCCCACTCTACTACATACTTTGAAACATTATAGAGGGCAACATACTCGATACAGCATAAAACCTAAACACAAAATGCTCACACGTATATATAAATTTAAGACTTAGGGAATTATGGGTACTGTCAATAATCTTTGAACCTACTTTCAGATACAAATTCCATTAAGTCATAATCTGCATGACCCTGAAGGGGCAACCAGCTGTATGCTTTCCCTGGTCCCCAACTCAAGTCTTCAGGTCCAGAAGTTCACCCTCGTGTATTCTTTCTTTTCTATTCATATGTTTTCTTTACACACCCTCCCTCACATGCCTTTGGTGCTCCTACCTCACCCTGACTCTCAGTGTAGCTACTGTGCGTGTCTTCTGCCCCTGGTAGATCGCCACCTCCATGAGAACAAGGACTTGGTATTCCCAGGGCACCTAGCCAACTACTGTGTACATGGCAGCTGTTCAAGAGAATTCCTGAATTGAAAACATTCACAAGAACCCTCTTTTCTGATGACATCCAGTATCCATGAGGGAAAAGAAACAAGGCATGATCAACATCAGTGTCCTGATTATCAGAACAACGTCTATTATGTACATGGTATTTTATTTTTTACTTTTTTTTTTTTTTCCAAAGAATTTATTTATTTGAGAGACAGAGGGGACAGAGGGGAGAGGCAGAGGGAGAAGCAGGCTTTCCACCGAGCAGAGCCCGATGCAGGACTTGATCTCTAGACCCTGAGATCATGACCTGAGCCAAAGTCAGATGCTTAACCGACTGAGCCACCCAGGCGCCCCCTACATGGTATTTCAGAACTGTCACCATTATTGGGGGGAATATCTAAGCCTTGTCAATCAGAGAACCCTATCTCCCTAGCCTTAGGAATGACAATGATCCAAAAAGGGCCAATCAGGAATCTTTCAATATATTCTATATGTCAGCTTTGGGAAAGAACATTCCATTTTCCAAATCCTGTGCTGGAAGGTCAATGTAGCCTGGAAAATGTGGATGACCATCCTGCTTTCATACAAGCTGTACTGACAATAAAGCCCACATAGCAACAGGAGTCGTAATATCTTTCTTCTGAGTTCCTGGCTCACGCCATTCCTGAAGTGAGACCATCCCTTGGTCTAATGCAGACCAGTGAACTCCTACAACTCGTATACAGTTTTTTGTTTGTTTTGTTTTTTTAATGGTGGTTTATTAAAACACGGGGACGGGACCTGTGGGCAGAAAGAGCTGCTGCCAACTCATATACAGTCCCAACAGATTATCCTACTAGCCTCTTTACTGCTACCATACAAGGGTTCGTTGGCACTCCAGGGTGTCAGCCTGCCTTGAAAGCTCTGTGACATGTCAACACTCATCTTTCTTGACTTATAAAGATGAACTCACCCTGGATTTGGACAAGATAGAATGGAATGTACCTAACAGGGGGTATCTCCTAAATTTAATTAGAAAAGGTGGAGAAGCAACCATTTTCAATTAAATTCTGCTATCTCCTAACCCAGTATGAATTCTAATTGCCTTGAAATTCTAATATACAGGAGGACATTATGACGAGCACAAAGTGAGAGATGCAACTGTAATTACCATATAACTCCACTTTATAAGAGAACTTCAATAATAAACTCAACTAACAGGTAGTTACAGGCATCAAAATTGTGGTTGGGGGGATGGGGCTATCAATGAAGAAAGGGCACACGAGGACCTTTTGGAGTGCTTGATATGTCTCTCTGCTGGTGTGGTGGTGGTTACCTCAGTGTTCACACGTGCGAAAAATCATCAAACTGTATGCTCAAGATCAGTACTCTACTGAATGTGTGTTATGCTTTGGGTAAAAAAAAAATCTTAAGTGTTGAGGTACCTCATCCTTACCATGGACCTCAGACACAATGTTCCCATTCGAATTCCTTGTCTGTTGACCATGAAGGCAAGGAGAGGCGCTTGTGGGCCACTAAGCACCTTCATGAAAGCCTGAGGAGAGACAGCCTATGACTTAACGTGCATCTCTACCCCATCCAAGTGAATATGCTCTGAGTCTTCCAGAGCATACAGTACCCTGCCATGGGCAACACCTGGCAGTTTCTATTATTCCCCAGAGGCTGCAGGTTCCTTCCAGCATTAGTGCATACAACTCAGGAGATAATGAATGCCCCATCACATCCCTTAGCACCATCCCCCTCTCCCCTTCTTCTGGATTTTGAAACTAAGCATCACATTTGCATTTCCCAGACCTTCAAAAAAGTTCTAGGGTTTAGGCTGGGAATATACATTAGTACAACCCCTAGGGACTACAATTTGAGTATACCTATCAAAATGAAATAGGAAATTTCTTTCAGCTCAGCACTCCTGCTTTTAGTATTTTTCCTCTAGCTACATTCACATATGTGAAAAGGGATACATGTACAAGTTTATACGCTACAGAGATCTGTAATAACAAAACATTAGGGAAAAGTGTGCATCAATATGGGATTAACAAATTATAGTATATCCATCTGGTGGAGTATTATGCAGCTATAAAACAGATCAGTAAATATAAAACAGATCAGTAAAGATCAATACTCACCGATACGCACAATCTCCAAAACATATGCTAGTATTTTTTTAAAAGATTTTATTTTTACTTGAGAGAGAAAGGAGAGCAAGGGAGCACGAGTGGGGGGCAGAGGGAGAGGGAGAAGCAGGCTCCCCGCTGAGCAGAGAGCCCAACACGGGCTTGATCCCAGTACCCCGGGATCATGACCTGAGCCGAAGTTAGACACTTAACTGACTGAGCCACCCAGGTGCCCCTTAATATGCTACTATTTTTTTTAAAGATTTTATTTATTTATTTGGTAGAGAAAGAATGAGACAGAGAGAGAGCACATGAGGGGGGAGGGTCAGAGGGAGAAGCAGACTCCCCGCTGAGCAGGGAGCCCGATGTGGGACTCGATCCCGGGACTCCAGGATCACGACCTGAGCCGAAGGCAGTCGCTTAACCAACTGAGCCACCCAGGTGCCCTATTTTTTTTTAAAGGAAGATATAACTAATGTACATTTTGACCAGCATATTTATTTAAAAATCATTTTTGGAAGGTTATATAAGACAAACTGGTGGGATGCCCGGGTGGCTCAGCTGGTTAAGTGTCTGGCTCTTGATCTCAGCTCAGGTTTTGATCTCAGGGTTGTGAGTTCAAGCCCCGCACCTGGCTCCACGCTGGGCGTGAAGCCTACTTAAAAAAAAAAAAAAGAAAGAATGAAAGTGGTAACACTAGCTGCCTCTAGGAATAGGAACTAGGTAGCTGGGGACAAAAGCTATCACTGTGTCCCTTTTAAATTTTACATTTCAAATGTACTGGCTTATTCAAGAATAACTAAGATTTTTAAATTGTTCCAAATGAATTTGTGAAAAATATCTTGGTTTTCATGAAAAGAGACAGCATGTGGAATGCTATGTGACCGTTCAGGCTTTATAATTAATTAAGAGGCACAGCTGGTCACAAGATGCATTATAAATATTTACTACATATGCACGGAAGTCATGCAAATCATAGCTTTAAGATTCTATCTCTACTTTGTACACCTCTGCCCCTAACAGCCTCAAGTGCTTTGGATTTTTGTCAAAATCCAAACAGAAGGAGAACAGAGAAAACACTCTTCCTCCAAATCATTCACAACTGAAACCAACAGCAAAGTCAATTCAGAAGACCAAAACAAAATATATATTGAGGGTAAGGCAAACTGCCATCTGTTTCCAAATTCCATTCCAGGGTAATAATAAAACCTATCGTCTCAAACTGATTCCATGATTAGCTTAGCTGCTGATGTCATCTTCAGGGGTTCCAGGTGCCCAAACTACTCAGGGGGGATTTCTATCTAAATTGGACCACTAAATGGGAGGGGTGGGGGGGGTGGAGGAGGGAGCTGGAGATAAAACTTTGAAGCAACACAAAGTTTTCCAGCAGAAACACCTTTAACTTAAAACAATCAAAGTAGTTAAAGGGAATGTTTATTTTTTATTTGTTAGTCTACAAAGGAATTTGGAGTTCTAGAATTATAAGAAGAAGAAAGGGTGGCTGCCTGGTTCAGTTGCTGGAACATGCGACTCTTGATCTCAAAGGTTGTGAGTTTCAGCCCCACGGTGTGTCTAGAGATTACTTAAAAATAGAATCTTAAAAAAGAAAAAAGAAAAAAAGAAGGGGCGCCTGAGTGGCTCAGTTGTTAAGCGTCTGCCTTCGGCTCAGGTCATGGTCCCAGGGTCCTGGGATCGAGCCCCACATCAGGCTCCCTGCTTGGCGGGAAGCCTGCTTCTCCTTCTCCCACTCCCCCTGCTTGTGTTCCTGCTCTATCTCTCTGTCACATAAATAAAATCTTTAAAAAATAAAAATTAAAAAAAAGAAGAGTAATTTATCATCCTTAGGTAAAAATTATATCCAGTCCATAACAGGATTTCTAATACCCTTCCCTCACTAGTCATTAGGTTGAATTAGAAATAGCCATTAGGGTAAATTAAAACCACAATGGGGATACCATTTCAATAACCATAATGGCACCTACTCTAGGCCAGAAGCTCACTGTGAGGTTAATTACACTACTTGTAAATCTACACCTACAGGCTTTATCAGTTTCACAGCCATCCCCCAGCAACATGAAGGGTCTCGCACAGCAAGTGAGATCGCAGAATTCCTGATTTCAAAGTCTTCTCGTTAAATAAAAATGTATGTGGCTAGGGAGTGATCAACCAGCAATCTTCCCCAACCATTAATGAGATCTAGCAGTTACAGGCAAGGACAGACAGCTCTGCTTTATATCAATAACATCATTCACTCTTACCTCAACTTCAAAACCAGCAACAGGGAAAAAAAAACCCTTTTTTAGAGCGAAAAAAATCAATTTAACGTTTCTCCATTAAACCAGCAAGAGAAAAAAAGCACTTTCAGCTTAGAAGGGGGAGAAGATCCTACCAGCTCACAGCCTCACCCCTCTCCTCTTCCAAGCCTCCATCAACAATGCAGAAGATCAGTCTCCAGCTTTGGGAAACTGTTAAATTTATTTATTTTAAAGCAAATGGTACAACAGGAACTGATTTTCAACATATGTAAATGTTCATTTTTAAGACTCATTCTATCTGAAGGAGGAAGATGCTACTTACGGTGTTGATTTATAGGAAGACTCTGGATACAACCGCTTGTCATTCACTTTACCATTGGAAGAGTAGGCCATGGGACTGTCCACTCTCTCCACATATTCAGAAGGGGGGGGAGGCATGTCTTGTGTGCCTGCAGACACGTTCTTAACCTAAAGAAAAAGCCCCAAGGAGACACAGTTATTACTGAGCCTGTAATTTAAAGGGGAAGGAAATGGAAGAAAAATATCACATATAAAATTACCTAATACTTATTGGTCTCATTAAATATTTTTAACCTGCCTCGTTATTGTTAGTGTTAACAATCAAATCAGTATTCCTACCAACACACAAATGACGCCATTGTTAATTTAACAAGTCCAGAATCACAAAGAAGGAAAAAAAAATCCCAATTACCTGACTCATCCTGATGTGACCAGGCAGAATGATTATCCATTGCTCTACCCCATATACAAGGAGTAATCTCATTTTATCTAGGCTGGGTCTGGGTTCAGCAAAGAATTTTCATTTCTTTCTCTCTTTTTTTTTAATTTTATTTATTTGATAGAGAAAGAGACAGCGAGAGAGAGAACAAGCAGGGGGAGCGGCAGGCAGAGGGAGAGGGAGAAGCAGGCTTCCCGCGGAGCAGGGAGCACGATGTGGGGCTCCATCCCAGGACCCTGGGATCATGACCTGAGCTGAAGGCAGACGCCTAACGACTGAGTCACCCAGGTGCCCCAAGAATTTTCGTTTCTAACAAGTTCTAAGGTAATACTTATGCTGCTGTCTGGGCACCACACTTGGAAAACAACTAAACTAGGACAAAAGACACTGGTTCCTCTTAATCCATCCACACTAAAATGTTAAAACCACAGAAGAAATTAAGAAGCTCAAACTAACTTCTGCTATAGTTCTTTAATAAGAGATTTGTTTATTCTCCCTTAACATACATTCTCAATGGCTCTGTTCTTAACACATCAACCCAGTATCAGAAAAAAACAATCTCATTTAAAATGGGCAGAGGACCTGATAGACGTTTTTCCAAAGAAGACAAACAGATGGCCAACAGACACATGAAACCATAAAAAACTGATGAAAGAAACTGAAGATGACACACAAATGGAAGGATATTTCATGCTCATGGATTGGAAGAACCAATATTGTTAATATGTCCATACTACCCAAAGCAATCTACAGATGTACTGCAATCCCTATCAAAATACCAACAGCATTGTTCACAGAACTAGAATTATACTGAAATTTGTATGAAGGCACAGACTCCAAGCCAAAGCAATCTTGAGAAAGAAGAACAAAACTGGAGGTATCACAACCCCGGATTACAAGATACACTAAAAAGATAAAGTATTCAAAACAGTATGGCACTGGCACAAAAATGAGGCACACAGATCAATGGAACAGAATAGAGGGTGCAGAAATAAACCCACACTTAATATGGTCAATCTATGACAAAGGAGGTGAGAATATACAACTGGGAAAAGACAATCTCTTCAACAAATGGGGCTGGAAAAACTGGACAGCAATATGCCAAAGAATGAAACTGGATCACTTTCTTACACCATACACAAAAATAAACTCAAAACGGCCTAAAGACCTAACTGTGAGGCCTGAAACCATACAACTCCTAGAAGAAAACATAGGCAATAATCTCTTTGGCATCAGCTGTAGAAACGTTTTTCTAGTTATGTCTCCTGAGGCAAGGCAAACAAAAGCAAAAATAAACTACTGGAACTACCCCAAAATAAAAAACTTTTGCATAGCAAAGGAAACAATCAACAAAACAAAAAGGCAACAAACTGAATGGGAGAAGATATCTGCAAATGATACATTCAATAAGGGATTAATATCCAAAAATACATGAACTCAGCATCAAGAACAACCAAATAATCTGATTAAAATGGGCAGAGGACCCGACAGACTTTTCCCCCAAGAAGACAAACCGATGGCCGACAGACACATGAAAAGATGCTCAACATCACTCATCATCAGGGAAATGCAAATCAAAACCACAATGAGATATCACCTTTCACCTGCCAGAAAGGCAAAAATGAAAAAGAAATAAAAGACAAAACAACAAAAAACCCCCAAAAGACAAGAAATTGGTAAAGATGTGGTGAAAGAGGAACCCTCAGGCACTACTGGACAGAATGCAAACTGGTGCAGCCACTGTGGAAAACAGTATGGCGGTTCCTCAAAAAATTAAAAAAACAGGCCATATGATCCAGTCATTCCACTACTGGCTATTCGCCCAAAGGAAACAAAAACACTAATTCGAAAAGATATATGCATCCCTATGTTTATTGCAGCATTATTTACAATAGCCAAGATATGGAAGCCACCCAAGTGTCCAATGACAGATGAATGGGTAAAGAAGATGTGATATATATGGAATAATTATTACTCAGCCACAAAAAAGAATGAGATCTGGCCATTTGCAACAACATGAATGGACCTAGAAGGCATTATGCTAGTCATATAGGTCTACCTGAGTCAAGTAAGTCAGATAGAGAAAGACAAATACCATATGATTTCACTCATATATGGAATTTAAGAAATAAAACAATCTGAATAAAGAAAAAAGAAGACAAAAACCAGACTCTTAAATACAGAGAACAAGCTTGTGGTTGCTCAAGGGGACGTGGATGGGGGGATAGGCAAACTAAAGGGGATTAAGAAGTGCAAACCTCCACTTACAAAACAAGTCACAAAAATGAAAAGTTCAGCAAAGAAAATATAGTCACTAAGATTGTAGTAATGTTGTTTGATGACAAACGGTGACTGTACTTATCATATGAGTAATGAGTAATGTATAGACTTGTGGAATCATTATGTCATACGCCTGAAACTAATATAACATTGTATGTTAATTATACTACAACTAAAAAAGAATGAGTGGAGGGGGTCACTGGGGAAACTACTTTGTAAAGTTCTTTTTACTGTCCAGTAAGATGACAAGGTATCATATTTAGCACTGTACTTTGATGGGCATAGTAAAAACTCAGAAGATGCTGGATTCTGAAATTAAAGCCAGCAGATCTAAACAAAGAATTTTTATAAGTATTTGAAGGTGAAAGCAGACTTTTAATTGGATTATTTTGCTATTAAATACTTACAATTAAGTTCAGCATCAATACAGTGTATTTCCCTGCAACACACACACTTTACGCCTTGTTTTCCATTAAGCACAGCATTAATACATGATCTACTCCTTTCCTATCATTGCAGTAACACATACCAAGATTTTATTTACCCACCACTTGAAGTACATAAGGTATTCTTGATTGTTTAATAGTCCCTCAAGCAAGAAAGGAATGGGATCATTTCCTTCGGAAAGTAGAGTTTAGCTGCCACTGGGAAACCAGTGGGTGGGTTGCAAGGGAGTGTGCTTAGATGTCACTACAGCGGGGATGCGGGGGGTGGGAGCCATTCTTGGCTCCCACTGGATTCCCTAGGACCTGACACCACTGCCAAGCTTCACAGGCAAATGCTCTGCCAAGTCAAAGGTCTATTCTTATTCTGGACACTTCATCAGAATTTAAAAAGACTTCCTTTTCTTAAAGACCCATTTAACACTTTTCCACGTTTTTCCTCTTCACAACTTGAACAGAGGATGCAAAGCTCTACTGTTCTGGCAAACCCGAAATCAAAACCTTACAAAAAAGGTACCTGCATGTCCTTGCAGACTCGTAACTGCCTGGAAGGGAATGTCCTTCCCCCTTCTTTGCCAGCTAATACTTAATTAGGCTTCAAGTTTTGGCTCACTACCAAGTAGTGGCCATGCCAATACCCCCCGGAGGCCTTCCACACGTCTCTGCTGAGTGAGGCAGCCACCTGCTCTCCCTATCTCGCTCAACACCTGTGCACACAAACCTCCCACCGGAGCACTTAGACACTGCCAAACAATCGTTCCCATCCAGAATAATGGCTTGCTCCTGTCACTCTAACTTCAGGGGGCAGTGGACTATTCTAAAAGCTGCCTGCCTACAATGTGCCAAACAATGAAATGACAGATCATTCGGTAGGCACAGCCTTACAGGTAAATACTATTATTCCCTTTTTAGAAATGAAGAAGCTATGACTCAGGGAGCTAGACACCTTTTCCAAGCACCTACACTTAGGAAAAGGTTTTGCAGGACTGAACTATATGGCTCACTCAAAAGCCTCTGCTACGATCCACCACCTCTCCCTGGGCTGTCTCCTACCTCTCTCTGGGTCTCCAGAGCCCAGCACGGTATCAGGCACAAATCAGGAGCCCAGAACTGGCTGCATAAAGGTGACCCCATTTATTACTGCGGTACTTCTACGCTGTGTATATCGAAACATCTTATCAAATGAGCTGCTCTGAGCTGACCTTCAGCTCTTCAGAGTCAGCAGAACTGGACTGGCCTGACCCCTAACTTCACCCACCAGCACAGGGCTCCAGTTTCTTAAACCTTTTTGATGCATATATACAGAAAATTCCAAGGCGCTGCATGCTTTGGCAGAACGTATACTAAAGTTAGAACAATGCAGGGAAGATTAATTACTAACATGGCCCCTGTGCAAGGATGATATGCAAATCTGATGCACTGCAGATTAAAAAAAAAAAAAAAAAAACCCAGCCAGACTCAAAGATGAGTAAGAATCAGCCTTTGTCCTTAAAAGGAGCTTAAAAATCTCAAGACAGAGGCAAAATATGTTTGTAAAACAAAGAGTGAGGTATTCTTTTCCTTCCTATGCTTCACTTTTCCCTTAAGAAGCTAAATTACTACTTTTCTCATAGTACCAGTGCGCAGTATAAACCTGCTGCACCCCAGTGGGGACTGACCAGGTGTTAGTAACGTAGACACAGAGTCCTCAGGCTGTGTTTCCTGGTGGGAGCAAAGGGATTTCTGAGCAGCACTGGTATTATTGATTGGGTCCCCAGCCAGCCCACAAAACTTGATGATGTAGCTCAAATTCTTGACAATAAGCAAACAAAACCCACCATTCTAATAACTGTAGTAAATTATTAATACTCAACAGCAAATGGTGAACAGTTTTCAAGTAACTTGAGAAAAGCCCTAAGCGATTAGGGTCAAAAGAAAGCAGAGTGAAAACATGAAGTAAAAAACGGTCTTTTAAGTATTTTTAAGATTTTATTTATTTGGGGCGCCTGGGTGGCTCAGTTGGTTAA